GCTTGTTTTTGGTCGGTGTATTTTTTTTGTTGAGTAATATAATTAGGTAGGCTCCTAAGTAGATTTAGCTCGTAGACCGACCGACAGACAGAGTTACTATCTCATCTATATCTATACATATAAATAAAATTGAGTGCCTGTTTGTAATATTGAAATAACCGTTTTTTACTACTTGCATATGAATATAAATACGGTACATACACCAAAATACCATTTTCAACAATTTTTGTCTGTCTGTCTGTTTGTTCCGGCTAATCTCCGAAATGGCTGGTCCAATTTTGACTGGTCTTTTTTTGGCAGGTAGCTGATGTAATAAGGAGTAACTTAAAAGAAAAATAAAGTTGAATTCCATTCGGACAAGTCGCGGATACAGCTTGTTTATAATATTAGTAAGAATGTAGATGTCTTACGTGTATGTGTGACACTTGGCACATAGTCAACCAGCGGGCTGCATGCAACCATACCTACAACAATCGTCAATAGGAAACATTAATGTATAATACAACGAATGGATTCTAATAATAATCATCGTAAACAGTCGTTATGCATTGTATTTATTAAAAAACAAGCGACTAATGTCTCTGAATTATAATTAATAATAATAATCATCATCATCATCATCATCATCATCGCAGCCCGGAAGACGTCCACTGCTGGACATAGGCCTTATTACGGATTTTAATGCAGTTTTCAGTAATAGAATAGAATAGAAAATCATATATTCAAATAAACTTACATTGAAGCACTATTGAATAGTCATTACATTTTTTTAATCTACCGCTCAGTCGGAAAGCTGTCTCAGCACAAGAAGAACGAGCAAGAAACTGCGTGTTGCTCTTTTAAATAATTTTATTATTACTTTACATTTTTAATTATAAGTGTTAGATAGAGTGATTCAAGAGGAAGGCTTATATGTACAATACAAGGGTGTTATAGTATAGCACAAGGTGATAAATACAAGATTTGAAATGCATCCGTGCAAAGCCGCGACATCCCGCTAGTAAAATATAAATTGCCTTGACCAATATAAATTTATTATTATTTGATAATGTTACTTTCTTCGCTTTAACACAAAGATTAAGTTTCAACAACCAATAAACGGTTTATAAAAAAGACGACCTAGTCCCAGAGACTCGTTTGTTTTTTTTATGTCGACACTACTCTAGGCTAAGTAAATCTATAATAGTCATATTTGGAGTTTTTATTACGTTAGTGTGTTTGTTTCTGAGCTCATCATAGTGGAAATATTTGCATTTTTTTATAGAAATGTTAGCTGACCCCGTAAATGTTGTTTTGTCTTATAAATTACTAGCTGTGCCCGCGACTTCGTCCGCGTGTAACTTGTGTTAACTTTATTTTTCTAAAGTAAAAGTAGCCTAAGTTAGTCCTTATTATATCGCCAACCTGCAAAAAAAGTCCCGTCAAATTCGGTCCAGTGATTTCAGAGATTAGCCGGAACAAACAGACCGACAGACACACAGACAAAAATTGTAAAAAATGTAATTTTGGCGTATGTACTGTATATATATTCATATGCATGTAGTTATTTCAATATTACAAACAGACCCTCCAATTTTATTTTTATGTATAGATATATAGATAAGCAGTATTAAAAAATAGTTTTAATACCACATTATAAAACAATTAAATTAAAATAAATTAATGAAAAAATAAATATTTTTTTGTGAGGTGAGCCACCCTTAATACTTAGGTATAAACATTTGTTATAAACCTTTTCACAGACCTACTGAATATACATATAAAATTTCATTAAAATCGATCAAGCCGTTTCGGAGGAATATAAACACGAAATCTGTGACACGAGAATCAACAGCATCATTATTACATAGTATATAACAAAGTCGCTGTCGCTGTCTGTCCCTAGGTATGCTTAAATCTTTAAAACTACGCAACGGATTTTGAAGTGGTTTTTTTTAATGCATAGAGTGGTTCAAGTGTTCAAGCGGATGGTTTATATATATATGTAATACATGTACACCTAGTATTTCTATATTAGTCAGACACACATTTCTTTTGCTGCTAATTCTATGGGTAATAATCAACTAGGTTACGATGCCATCTGACTATTATAATTTTATATCAATATAATTATGTGTAACTAGCTTTTGCCCGCGGCTTCGCTCGCGTTAATTTATCGTCTTAGGGGTGGAATTTATCAAAATCCTTTCTTAGGGGATGCCTACGTCATAGTAGCTTTATGCATGCAAAGTCTCAGCCCGATCGATTTAAAATTGAAAGTTTCATACAAATGTTCATCCCCTATTTTATCCATTTGGGGGTAGAATTAATCAAAATCCTTTCTTAGCGGATGCCTATGTCATGACATCCTGCATGCCAAATTTCAGCCCGATCCGTCCAGTGGTTTATGATGTGCGTTGATAGATCACTACGTCAGTCACCTTTGAGTTGTATGTATATATTTAGATTATTAAAAAATATGTCGTAACGTGTGTGACCAATATTGTAACAGCTAAGTAAATAAGCTATATAATTATCTACTTAAGTAATTACCTCATGTCTCGATTCAGGTTGTTATGCTATCCAAATGCAGTAAGCTAACTGCTAATAAGTCTAGCTGTGCCAGCGAAGGTATATTTAAATTGAAATTCAAAATATCTTTATTCATGTAGGTCTATTACAGACTCTTATGATATGTCAAATCTACCGTCAGTTCGGAATGAATTCGAGACGAGAAGAACTGACAAGAAACTCAGCTCGTATTTTTTTTTAAGTGTTGTACATATTTACAATTATACAATTTCATTTAAACTCAAATTTGGGAGAATAGAATGACCACCAGCATATGCTATTGAAAAAAATCAAAAAATCTAATCAGTGATCGCAACCTGAACAGACCAGTCCCCACAAGCACCCGTTCACGAGTATGACGGATGAGCCAGCCATCATGGCACTCAACCATATTAGAGGGAGTACATCAACCCGACCCACCACGCCGCCACAAGTTTGAACTTTATAGCGAGCATACCCACCACACTGCCACAACTTTACAGCGAGCATGACTGTTTCAAGTTACTCCACTACGTCATTTATATTATTTACAGCATAAACTGTACCAATCACAGTTTTCACCCATTACAATATTTAATTTACATTATTTAAATTACAATATGTCATTACTAAATTTAGAATAAGTTTCTTTAGTGTTATCTATGTCAATGGGAAAGTTATATACCTCATAACAAAAGTTAAAATTGTAATTAGTCCACGCATTGTAGTCATTCAAGTAGTCGTTTATTTTATAATAAGCTTTAGCGCAAAGTGTATTTTTTACATGTATCTTAAATTTCCCTTCATTTAAATTGAAAACATTATCAGGCAATTTATTATAAAAACGTATACAATGTTCCATGAAAGATGTACTTACTTTTTTGAGACGAAAACTAGGCATGTTTAATTTATTTTTATTCTTTATTACTATTAGATATATGATATATTTACGGGTAACTCGTGATCATGGTGGTTGAAACACTGCCGAAATATCGGGAACTCAGCAAATAAATATAAAACGTGGTAAGATCCCGTGATTTTTACTAATTATACGTATATTATATACAATATTATTATTCTATTTAAAATTGGGCCTTGTGCAATACTTTCTAATTGAATTGCGTGCACCTTGAGTGCAGACTGAGGTCGTCATATTGCTGTGAACACAAAGAGTTACTATGTATTTACTTGTATGATTTGATTACACTTAATCATTTGTGTGACCTTCTTTCCTTAGCCTAAAGACAAACTAGCAATGTATTGTTTTCAAGCAGAGTTTTCAATACAACTGTATTTTGTATGTTTTTGACGGCCACGATAGTGTAACGGTTTAGCACACTTACTTCCGATGGTCGCGGGTTCGATTCCTAGCAAGGTACAAAGATTTGTATTCATAAGTATGATTGTTTGTATCGGTCTGGGTATTTTCTATTTATAATGTGTATGTATTTACAAAAATATATATATCTATATATTTTTTTTGAATTTGTATCAGTTATCTAGTACCCATAAAACAAGCATTAGCTAGCTTAACTTGGGTCTAGATGGCGCTGTGTGAATTGTCCTGAGATTATTATTATATTTGAGAGGATTATTGGTAAAGGGTACATGACCCTGATAGATCGGGTGGAAGTGGATTGTTAGTAATGTGGACTAATGACCCTATTACTAGCATGCACCATGTCAGGTTGACCTCCACTTCGTCTTCAGTGTTCCCAATTAGTAGTACGCGTACCCCCTGGGGTACGTCAAGTAGCATCTAGGGTACGTGCGGCTATCAGTAAAACAAACACAAACTTTCACATTTATAATTAGTGTGATTGCTACAATAAGGGGTACGCAAGGTTTGAGGACTTTTTGAAGTGGTACGCAGCAAAAACTATTTGGGAACCACTGGTCTAAATGCAACACAATTTGTTATGGGTTTTGTGGACATTCACATGTTTTTTTAACAATGTTTTTACACTTCGATGGCCTCGGCTAGACGTCCTGCGGTTCACCAAACAACTTTCGACCTCTTACAACCCTTTTTTCGGTTTAAAAAGTAGCCTATATACATTCTCAGGGTCCGGACTGTATATAGAAAACAGCAATAATATTCATGAATACAAATATTTACCATTCAAATTCAAAATATCTTTATTCATGTAGGTCTATTACAGACTGTTATGATATGTCAAATCTACCGTCAGTTCGGAATGATATCGAGATGAGAAGAACTGACAAGAAACTCAGCTCGTATGTTTTTCAAATAATAGTGGAACATGTTTATGTTTTTTTTTACTACTATGATGGCAAACAAGCATACGGCCCATCTGATGGTAAATGGTTACTGTAGCCTATTGACGCCTGAAATACAAACGTTGGTTGCAGTCGGTCATAAACACAGCTTACTGCTGCCTGGCCGTGCTGGACCTGGTGGTACCACCGTGTTGAGCGTTGTTGACGTATGTGCGTTTGTTTGGTTGCAGACGGTCATAAACACGGCGTACTGCTGCCTGGCCGTGCTGGGCCTGATGATCCAGCGCGCGGTGTTCGGCCGGCTGCGCGTGTCTGAGGCGCAGCGCGTCAAGGACAAGTTCTGGAATTATCTGTTCTACAAATTTATCTTCGTGTTCGGCGTCATCAACGTGCAGTATATGGATGAAGTGCTGCTCTGGTGCGCCTGGTTCAGCGTGCTCGGCTTCCTGCAGCTGCTCGGACAACTCTGCAAGGATAGATTCGACTACGTAAGTTACACTAATACTAACTGTGGCCGCGTTAAATTTCATTAAAAAAAAAGCCTATATAGATTCTGATGCATAAGCTATATTACTGTAAAGTTTCTATAAAATCCGTTTAGTAGTTTTTGCGTGAAAGAGTAACAAACATCTATACTTACAAACTATCGCATTTGTAATATTACTAGCTTTTACCCGCGGCTTCGCTCGCTTTGAATAAAAAAAATGAATTCTTGTAGTATACTAGCTGACTTCGCAAACGTTTTGCCATATAAATTGAATCGCTATTATTAAAAATAGGGGTTGATGGTAGAAGTGCGAAAATTTGGGGTTGTATGTATTTTTTAACGCCACATTATAAAAAAATATCCAAAACATAGAAAAATTTTAAGGGTGGACACTTAGGGGTATGAAAAATAGATAGTAACAGATTCTCAGACCTACTGAATACGCATATAAAATTCCATATATATCGGTCAAGCCGGGTCGGAGTCGTATGGTAACTAACATTGTGACTAGTTGAGCCCGCAGTTTGCCTCGCGTGAAATTTAGAGCCTGTATGTTATTCTGATGTATAAGCTATATTACTGTAAAGTTTCATTAAAATCCGTTCAGTAGTTTTTGCATGAAAGACTAACATATTCATACATACTCTCGAACTTTCGCGTTTATAATATTAATAATATCGTTTAGTAATATTTAATTATCTCGGTGGTCTAGCGGCTAGCACACCGCTTTACGTCCTATGGTCGCGGGTTCGATTCCTCGCACGGCACAAACATTTGTATACATGAATATCATATTCATGTATGTCTGTATCGGTCTGGGTATTTTCTATGTATAATAAATATGTATGTATTTACGAAAAAAAAAAGATATTTGTATCAGTTGTCTAGTACCCATAACACAAGATTTAGCTAGCTTAACTTGGGTCTAGATGGCGCTGTGTGAATTGTCCTGAGATTATTATTATTATTAATTATCCATCATGTAGTAAACAAAATGTGTACAATCGAACTAGATTACATTTGTTTGTTTTAGTTCCTAAGTGTGTCACTAGATGGCGTTGTTAGTTTTATACATTTTTCTACATCTCGCTATTAAGATTTCTTTTTGAATACATATAATCTTTTGATAATTAATTATAAAACATATTATAACAACCATTGTGGATAAGTTTTCTTAGTTGTAATTTATTTAACTACCCTAATCAAAGTACGCCATTAGGGATCCGTGGATATAAGATTATTCACAATGAAACCTGTCGACCATTGATTACGATGTGAGATGTTCGAACTGATTAGTGGTAATTGGTGACCAACGTACGCACGCCGAACATTGCAGCTCTTGTACATTGTATGTCTTGATTTTGTTTTGCGTGGACTATGTTATTTAACTCTGCGACCTACATAGATTGCTCGGACATGTAGCACTGCGACCTACATGGATCTATTGTGCTCGACTTTATGCTACGTTTACTTTCAGCCGCTTCCCCTGCCACTCGGGCTGCTGGAAATATTACCGGTCGAATACTGTAATGACATATTGTAAATTAAATAATGTAAATTTAATATTGTAATGGGTGAAAACTGTGATCGGTACAGCCTATGCTGTAAATAATATAATTGACGTAGTGGAGTAACCTGAAACAGTCATGCTCGCTATAAAGTTCAAACTTGTGGCGGCGTGGTGGGCCGGGTCGATGTGCTCCCTCAAATATGGTTGAGTACAATGATGGCTGGCTCATACGTCATACTCGTGAACGGGTGCTGCTTGTGGGGACTGGTCTGTTCAGGTTGCGAATACTGATTAAATTTTTTGTTCTTTGCGATAGCATATGCTGGTGGTCACTCTATTCTCCCAAATTTGAATTTTAATAACTGTATTTATCATAAACATGTTTCACTATTATTTGAAAAAAATACGAGCTGAGTTTCTTGTCAGTTCTTCTCATCTCGATATCATTCCGAACTGACGGTAGATTTGACATATCATAAGAGTCTGTAATAGACCTACATGAATAAAGATATTTTGAATACTGAGAGAGCGGGCTCAAATATAAAAACACAATAAGATTAAATCAGTCGTAGTGATAAGAGCAGACCAGTCCCTACAAGCTGAACTCGTTCACGAGTATGACGGATGAGCCAGCCATCACTGCCCTTTATTTCCTCAGGATAGAGTGTAAACTTTCCAAAGGAGATAATTCGTTTGTGCATGAGTGGTATACAACCACATAGGATGTATAGTAGCGTTTCCTTTTTAGATTTCCTGGAATTGATTTTAATTAATTTAAATTAAATTTCTAAAATTAAAGTAGCCAAGTTACACCTTATAACATGAGCTATCTGCGAATGAAAGTCCCTTCAAATTTAGTAGCCGTTACAGAGATTAGCAGAAATAAACAGACAGACAAAAATTTTATGTAATTACCGTATATACTCTCTCATGCATATAATGAGGTAATTAGAAATTACAAATAGGGACTTTATTGTTTTTTTATTTGCATAGACTAGCGACACGTCCTGACTCCGCACTCGAGCAGTTATGGGATCTGTAAATTGTCTAATCTCTAAAGATAATTTACATTTATATGTATTATCGTTACTTGATGGTTTCGGTGATATAACAGTTTAGCACACCACCTTCGGGACCTCACTTCCGATGGTCTCGGGTTCGAGTCCTCGAATGGTGCAAATATTTGTATTCATGAATATGATTGTTTGTATCGGTGTGAGTGTTTGTTTTAAATGGCAAACGAAATCCCGGGTCGCTACTAGTTAATCATTAATGACTCGATTACAATATGTATAATGTCAACTCGTACCTTGTTAATCGGAGTTCGTAATTCGATATTAATTGAATATCCAATTTAGTTGATAGTGTTTTGTTCTTATTTCTAATTGGACTGTAGGCAGGAAATGTCTAAATCTAAGCACTTGTCTCCACCCTATGGTTGCCTGGTTAGCGATAAGACCGCCCGTTGTTACCTCTTTGTCTTGTTTATTATTGGTTTTTCATATTTAACTAGCTTTTGCCCGCGGCTTCGCTCGCGTTAATGTATCCTCTTAGGAGTGGAATTTATCAAAATCCTTTCTTAGGGGATGCCTACGTTATAGTAGCTTTATGCATGCAAAGTCTTAGCCCGATCGGTTTGAAATTGACAAAGTTTCATACAAACTTTCATCCCCTATTTCATCCCCTTGGAGGTAGAAATAATCAAAATCCTTTCTTAGCGGATGCCTACGTCATAACATCTACCTGCATGCCAAATTTCAGCCCGATCCGTCCAGTGGTTTGAGCTGTGCTTTGATAGATCTCTATGTCAGTCACCTTTGAGTTATATATATATATATAGATTGTATTTTCTGTGAGAGGAACAATTAAGGATTCCATTCATTCATTCATTCATTCATTCATAATCATCTGCTTCTACCTTCTCTGATTCATTTGGGATCGGCGTAATGTGTTTTTCTCTTGCATTCATCCCTGTTCGTAGTCATCTCGTTATTTACTTCCTTTCTTCCCCACCATCTTTCATACAGTCCATCCAAATTTTTTTCGTCCTTCCTCTGCCCTTATAACCATCCACATTCATATGTAATACGTCGACGTCATATCCGTCATACTCGTGACCGGGTGCTTATTGTGGGGAATTGTCTGTTCGAGTTACGAACACTGATTAGACTATTTGCTTTTGCATTACCATATGCTGATAGTCACACTATTCTCCCAAATTTGAATTTAATAACGAATCTGTATTATTGTAAACATGTACAACATTTATTTGAAAAGAATACGAGCTGAGTTTCTTGTCAGTTCTTCTCATCTCGAAATCATTCCGAACTGACGGTAGATTTGACATATCATAAAAGTCTGTAATAAACCTAAGTACATGAATATAGATATCTTTCTTTAAAACAACTTCATTTTCACAGGAAATGATTGCATCATTTTACTAAAACGTTATAGTTACAAATTAATTAATTAATTTATAATCTTTAGTAATCTTTATCTTTATTGTCTAATATCTAATATTTTTTTTACAAATACAAATAATACAAATAATTAAGAAGTCCCTGAATTCTGAGGTAGGTATAGAAAATACCTGTGTTTCAGAAGTCAGTGTCCTCTTCCATATTGAGGTGTACTTTAAGTTTGTTATGATATATTACAATTTAAGTAGGTTGGTGTAATCACAGGAGTGTGTGTGTAAATATAATGTAAATAAAATATAATGTAAATTATAATTTAATAAACAAGGAAACTCAACTTAATCGCGTTGATAAAGTGTTCAAAATTAAACGTAGTAGGTATAGATTTATGTACTCGTTTCTTTGAAAGGCCCCTTCTTTTGTTACTTTCTATAGTTGTATATCGAAGTATTTTTTTAATCGTTTTGTTGTTGTTTTTAAATCGTGAACCAGTGCTGCTTGCAGGGTCTGGTCTGTTATCACTACGACTGATTTATTCTTATTGTATACTAGCTGATCCCCGCGACTGCGTCCGCGTGGAATTTAACTTTAATTTTCTAAAATAAAAGTAGCCTAGGTTACTCCTTATTACATCAGCCACCGGCCAAAAAAAGTTACATCAAAATCGGTCCATCCATTTCAGAGATTAGCCGGAACAAACAGACACACGGACAAAAATTATAAAATTGTTATTTTGGTATATATACCGTATATATATTCATATGCATGTATTAAAAACGGTTATTTCAATATTACAAACAGACACTCCAAATTTATTTATATGTATATTTGACTTTAAAAAATTAGTGCTGGTTGGTAGTTTGTATTCACACGTTTCGACTTGTAATTGTGAACTTACAAGGATTATTTAAAAGAGCAACACACAAGTTTTTTGTTTATTCTTCTTGTGATGAGACAGCTTTCCGAATGAGCGGTAGATAAAAAAAATTGTTATAACTATTCAAAAGTGCTTAAATTATGTTTATTTGAATAAAGATTCTTTCTATTTCTATTTATTATTCGTTTTTTTTTTATTTAATTTCTTTCAAATCAAATAAAAATCTTTTATTAAGGATCACTTTAAGGATTTTTAGCCGCTTATGAACGTCTAATCTAGACCACCGAGGCCGTCAGTGTAACAGTAACCTTGTACCCCCGTGATGCAGCTGTCGTCGTCTGCTGGCTCGGAGCGGTGGGCGCACTTTCGGCTGCTGTGCCTGGTCGGCGGCGTGCAGATAGCCAGCTTGGCGCTGCTGATGGTAGCCGCCGTGTGGGGACTGCCAGCCGGATGTGACACCTTCGTCTTCATGGCTGCTGAGGTACACCCAACATTTACTCGTTCATATATTCTAGCAGACATATTAGCAGATGCGGGACGTAAATTTGTGGAACCCTGAGCTAAAACTATTTAGGGCCCTACCTACCTATATATTTTTTTATAGATGATAATGAAATGGTGCACTGCCTGCGCTAACGGTTTACGCTGGCGGGGCACCAGTGGAGGATGATAAGATGAACATGAGGTCAGGTCAGTTAGCCCATCGTGACAAATTCATCAAGAATTTATCACGATGGTTTCCAGGGGAACCGCGTGGAGGTCGACCTGACATGGTACATTGCTAGCAATGAGATCATCAGTCGACATTGCTAACAATCCTCTTTCCCCCCACCTACCTATATTACTCAATTGAAAAAAAAAAATACACCAGCTCAATTTTGGAAACATTGCATTGGCTCCAGTTTCAGGGTTACCAACCTTATGATAGTATTCAATTTTTTTTTTCTTATTAAACATATCGCCTATTGTTTTTGTAGGGTGTGGGAACCTTTGTATCTACGGGGCCCTGGACTGCAGCCCAAAAAATCCTTAGATTTTAGAAAAATAAGTACAATCCATGAGATTTAAAATTAGTGTTCTTGTTGCTAAGTAACAGTTCTGGCTAACGTGCAACTGATGAAATCAGATTAAATTATATTTACTGCTGTATATCTTAATGGAGCTATTCTATGGGAATAGCTCATCCATCCATCATCAGCCTGAATGCTGACTCATATAACAGCCTCATCAATTGAAAGTAATACAACCAATTAATGAACAGAGTCATCAGATTGGCCTATTGTTAAAAAATAACAGATCGTCAATTAGCACTATTGAAAAAGAAAAAAGCTTTCTAGCTGTTATATGTTAATTTTACAAGCCGTCGTGACCTAGTTCTCTAGACTTCGACCTCAAAGGTCGTGAGTTCAAATCTAAACACACCAAGAGACGTAAACTATTATTGGAACTAATTTGTTACTTTGTGAAAACTATTTTGTTATCGGATTTTTCATTACCTAATACTTGCTATTAGGGTACTGCCACTGATTAAACTATTTCTTTTGACGAAATTGTAATAGCATACGCTGATGGTCACATTATTCTCCCAAATTTGAGTTTAACACCTCTTGGTGTGGACAACCCTTATCACTTAGAGGTATGATAAATACATAGTAGCCGATTCTCAGACCTACTGAATATAAAATTTCATAAAAATCGGTCAAGCCGTTTCATAGGAGTATGGTAACTAACATTGCAATTGTCTATACTTTTCTGGTCTGCTAGAGAAATAGCAGGTCACGACGGTCTCAATTTTTTTTGACAATTTTTTTTAATAAAATTTATTATATTTTTGTTTATGGTAGATTGTATGATGTTGTTGTGTTGTGACAGTGCGTGCTGGTGTTGGTGTCGGCGCTGCACGTGGTGGCGCGGTACGTGCTGCAGACCTACGAGGTGGACGTTGCCGGCCCGCTCTCATACTACACGCAGCAAATATTCGAAGTTAGTACCCACTGTGTACACACCCACCTCATTCGCGAGTAAATCAGCGGTCAGGCGGGAAAAAATGTGCATGTAAATGTAGATAAAAAGAACGAGAAATAACTTAGCGACTTAATGTGCTGTGTCAACATACATATTGGTTTTATATGCCCATGGTTTTCCTATAATGATTAAAATAAAAATAAAGAAGATAAATTTTATGCGATCCCTCACTCGGCTCTGAGAGAGTGATCAGAAGCTTCTGATCACGGGTGAATGAACGTCTGAAGCGTTAAAGAAGTTAAAGCAATAATTTGTATCAAGGGACTTCTTTTTATGGAACACTAGCTGTACTCGCGACTTCGTCCACGTGGAATTTAAATGTATTTTTCTAAAATAAAAGTAGCCTAAGTTACTCCTTATTATATCAGTTACCTGCCAAAAAAAGTCCCGTCAAAATAGGTCCAGCCATTTCAGAGATTAGCCGGAACAGACAGAAAGATAGACGAAAATTGTAAAAAATATTATTTTGGTGTATGTACCGTATTCATATGAATATAGTAAAAAACGGTTATTTCAATATTACAAACTCCAATTTAGGTATATGTAAGATAATTGTATGAAAAAACCAGAATGATCAGCCATTAACATGTCTGTGTATGTGTCCAGTGCGTGGTGCTGGTGGTGGAGCTGATGGACGTGGTGCACATGGTGGTGTACTGCAACATGCTGGTGTCGATGGCGTCGCTGGTGCTGCTGATGCAGCTCCGTCACCTGCTGCACGAGCTGCAGGCGCGCCTCCGCAAGCACCGCGTCTACACCACGCTCGCGCACCACATGAGCCGCAAGTCAGTACCTGCATACACGTACTCTTTCTCTCTTTTTTTCCCCCTCTATCCCCATCTCCCTCTTTTCCTCCCTATCTTTGTCGCGCGCGCACTCGCACTACATAAACCCCAAGTCACTACTTCTCAATGATCCCGACGACCCCATAACGGCAGTAAACCTCCCCACGTGTCCACCCGTTCCGTCCCGACCACACTTTTACACACAATCACGACACCGTCCTCGCCGGCGAAGATATTCAACCGGGCGCTCCACACCGGCGCCCCCGGTCGCCCCTCCGATCGATCCTCCGTCCAATTCAAACGGGGACCGATGTTACGACGGCCTGAACCGAGATTCGAACCCCTAGCGGTGCCCTCAGACTAAAGTCGTATCCGTCAGGCGGGAGTTGGCCTTCAGCCGCTCCATAAGTCCTTCCGCAGGTTTGGAGTGCCATCTGCACTCGCCCCGTTCGTTCGGTGAAGCTGTAAAGGCCAGCTGCGTCCAACAGCATTAGAGTAGCCCGAAAAATAAACCGACCCATCCACACACTCACATACTCGTACAATAATGTGTCTGTTTATGTGACAGAGACAAACAAAAGTGTAGAAGTATGTGACAAAGAGAGAGAAAAATGCATGATATACACATTCCATACACATGCACATAAACAGACACTCACACGTATAAATACTGTTATAGTACGTACAATATCCAAAGGTATCTTATTATGTACCTTCACCACTGAAATCCTATATGAAGAATCACCTACTAACCAACCTAAACAACATAATTTTGACTCGCATTACTGGACTATTAGTGATATAATCTTCACGTGAAATCTAAATATATATAACTCAAAGGTGACTTACATAGTGTCTATCAACGCACAGCCCAAACCACTGGACGGATCGGGCTGGAATTTGGCATGCAGGTAGATGTTATGATGTAGGCATCCGCTAAGAAAGGATTTTGATTAATTCTACCTCCAAGGGAATAAAATGGGCGATGAAAGTTTATATGAAACTTTGTCAATTTTAAACCGATCGGGCTGAGACTTTGCATGCATAAAGCTACTATGACGTAGGCATCGCCTAAGAAAGGATTTTGATAAATTCCACCCCTAAGGGGATAAAGTAACGCGAGCGAAGCCGCGGTCAAAAGCTAGTATCATTATAATCCCGGGCGAGCACAATAGATCTATGTAGGTCGCAGTGCTACAGGTGCTACAAACATCTGGCAATAGGGGGGAAGGGGATTGTTAGTAATGTGGACTCAGAACCCCATTACTAGCAGTGTACCATGTCAGGTCGACCTCCACGCGGTCCCCCCTGGAAACCATCGTGATAAATTCCTGGTGAATTTGTCACTATGGACTAACTCACCTGACCTCATGCTCATCTTATCATCCTCCACTGGTGCCCCGCCAGCGTAAACCGTTAGCGCAGGCGGGTGCACCATTTCATTATTATCCATAAAAAAAAACATCTGGCAATAGCCCAAACAACCCAATAAAAAAAAAGACTGTCCTAATACAAGAATATACTGCAATTATGTATGTTATTCTTAAACATGATACCAATTAAAAGATAATTACGAAATGTCAACTACAACGGTAGTTGCAACATGACCACAAAAAAAAGGCACATCGCTCGAAAACTGCACGGTAATCGGTTATTTACGACTGTTTACATTTGTCCCTGTTGCGACGTAAACAAAAATAATGCATAATCAATTAGTTACTAATTAGAATAAACCAGTCGTGTAATCTTATATATAAAATTCTCGTGTCACAGTTTTCGTTCCCATACTCCTCCGAAACGGCTTGACCGTTTCTCATGAAATTTTGTGAGCGTATTGAGTAGGTCTGAGAATCGGCCAACATCTATTTTTCATCCCCCTAAATGTTAGGGGTAGGCCACCCCTAATTTTTTTTTATTTTAAGGCAAAACAACGTTTGCCGGGACAGCTAGTTATATATAAAATCCTCGTGTCACAATGTTAGTTGCCATACTCCTCTGAAACGGATTGACCGATTTTTATGAAATTTTATATGCATATTCAATAGGTCTGAGAATCGGCTACTGTCTATTTTTCATACCCCTAAGTGTCCACCCTTAACATTTTTTTATATTTTGGATATTTTTTTTAATGTGGCGTTAAAAAATACATACAACCTCAAATTTTCGCACTTCTTTCACATTAGGGTTGTCCACCCCTAATATGATTTTTTTTATTTATATTTAGATATTATTAATAGATATATATTTTATACTATTTCAAGCCAAACTACTGAACGGTTTTGATAAAAATTACAGTAATATAGCTTGTACATCAGAACAACAACTTATTATTAATATTATAAATACAAAAGTTTGTTACTCTTTCAAGCAAAAACTACTGAACTGATTTTGATGAAACTTTACAGTAATATAGCTTATACATCAGAATAACACATAGGCTATATACATGATAGTTAAATAGCAGTTACAGCTAGTATGTAATTATCATTATCATAACATAGTATAAAACAAAGTCTGTCTGTCCCTATGTATGCTTAAATCTTTAAAACTACGCAATGGATTTTGAAGTGGCTTTTTTAAATAGATAAAGTGATTCAAGATGTAGCTTTATATATGTAATATATGTACACCCGTGCGAAGCCGGGGCGAGTAGCTCGCAAATGTATAATTGTTATTCCTAAGTATCGTTCAGAAAAAGTCAATGGGTCTTTTATGGGAATGGGCATAAAAATTTACAATAAAATACCAATGGATATATTGGAATTTTCTTTAAATAAATTTAAAAAATCAGCTCTTAGTTGTTCATACACGTGATATTCATTTAATGTTAGACATAGACACCTATATAAGTAAACTGGTTGTTTAAAAAAAATCTGTTAAGTTTTTTGCCAATTCTACATTATAACTGGGAAAGTTTCACGACTAAATAACTGAATGAATCGTAATGAAATTTTACATAAAGATAGATTAAATCTTATAACATATAAATATAGTATTCATTCATAATTTAGGACGCGCAATAAACGAAGTCACGGCGCTCTCTCAATAAGGGTATATTAATGTTTCTTAAGGGTTGATAACGGGCAAATTACAGTATTCTTATTTGCCACCATATAATAGTAATAAAATACTGAATTAAATAATAATAAACTGTAATAACATAATAAAAAAAATAACTGAATAAATATAAACTAATATTCATAAGAAGATTGATTGTTGCAGTTACCCAATGGCGAGTAAGGAAGAAGTGGAGAAGAATCAGGACAACTGCGCCATCTGCTGGGAGCCCATGAAGGAGGCCAGGAAACTGCCCTGTTCACATTTGTTCCATAAGTAAACCTTTTATTTTTATCAACATCATCATCGCAGCCCGGAAGACGTCCACTGCTGGACGTTTTATTTCATCAAACACCAAATGATGATAGGTGGTTTTATACAAACAGAAAAAAGATTCAAATGGTCGTATAAACAAAGTTCTCTGTAAAAATGCTTATTATAAAATTCAAGAGTTTTGGTAGAAAAAACTTAAAATTCGTAGCGCTGACAATACTATCTGATTGCACTAAAAATGAGTGCATAACGGTTTCTATGTTGATTATCGCACGCCTCTTACTTATTATTGTTGGAAAAAATATATTTATTTATTTATTTGAGCGACCAACAAGACATACACCATGAGGTTACAATTATTATAACTTGCAAAGAGTTCAGGTATATAGTGTTGACTTAATTACTGGTTGCCACCACATGCGATATTGTTTACAGAAGTTTATATATATATATATATTTTTTTTATATATATTATATTTATATATTTCTATGTGTATAAATATTAAAGTTTTAATTTTAACTGTATTAATGAAACGGGTTTGACTTTTGTCTCTATAAAAAAACAGGTTTATTCAAAAGAGTAAAACACAAGTTTCGTGCTAATTCTTCATATGACAAACCTGCGTTCCGAATGAGTGGTAGTAAAATAAAATGTGACTGTTCAAAAGTGTTTGTTTGAATAAATAGTATTTCTATTTTTATTAAGTGACTTGACTTGGCTTGGGTATTTCTATTTCAGTTTCTAAGACTACTGCGATCGATCCCCCGTCCAATTCAAACGGTGACTGAAATTACGACGGCTCGAGCCGAGGTTTAACCCTTCCTTTGACACAGAACTGTCCAACCCTCTTAAACCGTATTGTCACAGATCTGTGCCCGCAAAGATGTGTCTTCTTTTTAACCAATTTAGTCCTTATTACTAACGAAATAAGATCGAAACACATTTGAAAAATACAGCTGGCGCGCGCATACCGCCTCTTCATTTTCGGTCGCTGCGACAGACGACAGACATTCGAAAGGTTAAACCTTTAGTGAGTCTTACTAAAGTCGTATTCGTCATACGGGAGTTGGCGTTCAGTCGCTGCATACGTCCTGCCGCCTGTTTGGAGTGCCATATGCACTAGCTTCCGCTCGGCGAAGACGTAAAGGTCGGCCGTGGCCAACGATCGGTCCTAAAGGAAGGAGCCCCTGTCGTCTGAGCTAATAGGGTGCGGTTATGTTCCAGCTCGTGCCTGTGCCAGTGGGTGCAGCAGGACGCGTCGTGCCCCACGTGCCGCCGCTCGCTGGCGGCCGGCCCGCGCCCGGGGGTCGCCGGGCTCGGGGGGGTCGCCGGGCTGGGGGGGGTCGCCGGGCTGGCGGGGGTCGCCGGGCTGGGGGGGGTCGCCGGGGCGGGCGCGCCGCCCCCGGGCGTGGCTCGCACGCGGCTGGTGCTGACGCCGCGGCCCGCGCCCCCCGAACACCGACGACCCAACCATCTCTTCCACTTCGACGGTGAGTACACTACTACGTTCATAGTTCATATCTACTTACACAGCGCTGAAAAAGTGCTCTTCGATATATACTTTCATGTTATACAATATACTTCATAATATTCGTTTAATATATTTTTTTAAAGAATTATAATGTATTGATGCACCCGCCTGCGCTAACGGTTTACGCTAGCGGAGTACTAGTGGAGGATGATAAGATGAACATGAGGTCAGCTCAGTTAGCCCATCGTGGTAAATTCACCATGAAATTATAGCGATGGTTTCCAGGGGAAACCGCATGGAGGTCTACCTGACATGGTACATTGCTAGCAATGATATCATCAGTCCACATTACTAATAATCCCCTTTCCACTCGTTTAATATATTAGCTATATATATGTACAATCAAAGTTTTAATTAACATTTTTAAAATATAAGATATTATTTTAATAGAGTAAAACGATCACCGAATTATAGTCTATGTAACCGGGTCTTAACACGAATAATTTTATGGCAAATAAAGGTATTTACCTCTCTCGACGTTTCGACTAGGTTGCACTAGCCGTGTTCACGAGCTGACTGGAGTAACAGCGATGTCAATGTAGATAGGTGACAGCAGTTTTTTCTTCATCTACCGTCACTAGATTGTTTAACAAAAGTTCGCGACACACAGCACTCACGGTATCCGTACACTTATTGACTATTGATGCTACTGAAGTTTGTGAATTTATTTATGACTGGATTCCACGCAGATGATAATTTTAAGCCATCCTCTCTGTTGAAATTGGGATGTTTTTTAATTTTAATCGCCTCCCGAACTATTCGTGGGTAATAGTGGCGATCAGTAGAGAGGACCTTAGGCGCATGTAGTTCAATCCAGTGATTTGTTCCTGCGTTCACTAGCCACGGCTAGTGCAACCTAGTCGAAACGTCGAGAGAGGTAAATACCTTTATTTGCCATAAAATTATTCGTGTTAAGACCCGGTTAATAATTTAAATAATATAGTCTATGTACTTTGAGAAAAGGAATAAAAGTTGATTTCTAAAACTTTATCTATAGAGGTAAAACTCATGCGTTAACCCAAGAAGATACACTACAAAACTATTAACTCTTTCCTGTACTATTATTCTGCAAGTTATGTCTTATTTCTTTAGTCTACAAGTACTAAAATTAATATAACTCCAACGAATTCTAATATCCGGCTCAAAGGACCATTGTATATGTCCTGAATAGCTTAAATTAATCTTCAATGGATCACCAGATCAATATTAATATAATCTATATCTATACATATAATAAATATGTAGAGAGGTCAATTCTGTACATGAAATATATTTCCAAAATAACTACCGGGGGGTGATCAGTGATCGATACTGATGTCAAAAATACAATCAGTAAAATTTTTGTCTGTCTGTCTGTATGTTCGTTATAGAAAAAACTACACGACGGACTTTAACGAAACTTGGTACAATTATTCTTCATACTCCCGGGCAGGTTCTAGTATACTTTTCATCACGCTACGATCAATAGGAGCAGAGCAGTGAAGGAAAATGTTAGGGAAACACATCAAAACCACTGAACCGTGAGGAAGGTCATAGGCTACTTATTTTACGAAAAACGACGGATACGCAGACCAGGTCGCAGGCAACAGCTAGTTTTGAAATAAGATTTTCTATTGTCAATTGTAATAATGATCTTTGTACTGATTATGTGTTAGTGCATGTATTAGATTTATTCAAGTTCTTACTCATTCTATATATGATGTTTCTACGTTCCGAATGAGTGGTAGAATAAAAAAAATTTAACTATTCAAAAGCGCTTATATATTTATTTTAAGCTTTAATCATAATATTATTATATTTTAAATATGAACATTATCTCATTTGGTATCTATTTTTTATATAAAACATCATTATATGAATTCAATATTTGTATGAATATTCATTGTAAACATATAATCTTCAAACATTTATTTCATATCCCTCCTTAACTTCTCCGATCCCAAAATCCAATATTATCATATACCAAGTTCTATAGTTTCCCAACTTTGATGTTGGCAAATGCACCATAGTGCCAAGCGATTACAAAAGGAAAAAAAAATTCTAAACTATTGTATATCCTCTCCATTCTATAAAAATGTCTCTAATTACACCTCATCCAAATTCATAAAAGTGTACGCTTTTTAAATACACAAACAGAATGTCATTCGAACAATATGTCAGTCAGAATGTAATGACTTCTCTGATCCGTATCCCAAAATTCAAAATTATCGTATACCAAGCCCTATAGTTTCCCAAACTTTGATGTTGGCAAATGCACCATAGAGACAAGCCATTACAAAAGAAAAAAAATTCTATTCTATTATATCTTCACTCCATTCTATAAAAATGTCTCTAATTACACCTCATCCAAATACATAAAAGTGTATGCTTTTTAAATACACAAACAGAATGTCATTCGAACAATATGTCAGTCAGAATGTGATGTCGTAACGAAAAGTTAAAGAAAATTAAATGTTGAAATAATCGTTAATAGTATATTTTCGAGAGCGAGGCTTTACGACTTAGTTATGCCATAAATGCTACATCGCTTCGCTCTCTCTATACTGCTGTGCCTCGTCATATTGTCTGTGTATATATATCTCTGCATGTTACAATGGAGATTGCCAGGTGAACTGTTTGTTTACTAGCTGTTAACTCGCTACCATCTATACAGATGAGTAACACAAGTTTCTCGCTCATTCTTCTTGTAATGAATCTGCGTTCTGAATGAGTGGTAGAATCAAAATATGACTATTCAAAGTACAGGAAGTGCTGGTATTGAGTTTATTTGAATAAAGATTATTTCTTTTTCTATTTATTTCTGTATATATAAAAGATTCTGCAGTGACTATCAATAACAATTCGTGTTTAAGAAATAATTATATATATAAAATTCTCGTGTCACAATGTTAGTTACCATACTCCTCCCAAACGGATTGCCTGATTTTTAGTAAATTATTTTAATAAATCCATATTCAGTAGGCCTGAGAATCGTATACTGTCTATTTTTATACTCCTAAGTGATAAAGGTTGCCCACCCCTAACTAAATTATAAAAAATATTGTCTGTCTGTTTATTCTGGCTAATCTTTGGGCTAAGGCTGGACTGATTTTGACCGGAATTTTCATTCATAGACAGCCAATCGTCTAAGGAGTTAGGCTACATACGTTTCAGAAACTTTTATTTATCTAAATAAAAGAATAAAATGTTAAAGTCGATGCGGACGTAGTCGCAGGTAATGGCTAGTGTACATATAGTAACAGGTGCACGTATGCCGGTAGGTTCCCGCTACGTGTCGTGGCTGCCCAGCTTCTCCGTGGAGGTGACTCGAGTGCGCGTGCAGCCGCCCGCGCTCACCGCCTCGCAGCTGGAGGCCATGGCTCAGCAGGTGAGTGTGAGGCTCGCTATGACCGAAGGCGCCGACGTGAAGCGCCCAGTTGATAGTGTAGTCGAGGTCATCGTCTTCGCTGGCGAGGACGATGTCATGTCAGTTAGCTACCGTGATCCCTCTAAAGACGGGGCAACTATGAAATTGTAATAAATGTCTAAATAAATATTGTGTGGTGCAGGTGCAGCAGATGTTCCCGCAGGTGCCCCTGGCGACGCTGACGCGGGACCTGGCCGCCACGCACTCGCCAGACCTCACCGTCGACAACGTGCTGGAAGGCCGCCTGCACTACGGTCGGTACACACACAACCTGCCTTTACACCTACTCTAGAACTCGTAAATGGCCTTTCATTCGGGGAAAAATAAGCATTCAAGATTTTCAATGCGGTCCTCAACGTACCGGCACCGCACACATGTCATACCTGGTACTATAGGCTGCGGTAACCGTTCACAATCAGACGTGCCGTACGCTTCATTGCCACCGTCGTAGTATAAAAAAACAATGCGTACATATACAATTTTAATATCAATCATATCTCCTTCATGTACCGAATATGGTACATTTTTTCCGCTAATAAGCAAATTGGTTCGGTATTAATAATGGTATTCGTGTGCAGTGCCTGCACCGGAGAGTCGTAGCGGCAGTCCAGGGCCGTCCGTGAGCTCGATGGCCACCGCTACCATCGCGACAGCCGCCGCAGCTACCGCCGCTATGCCGCTGCTCGCGGCCGGCGTCACACCCACCGCCAGCGGCAGCGCCAGCACCAGCACTAGTACCAGCACCGACATTCATGACTTCGTGCACACTTATTTGCCGGAATTTAATAACGACGACAGGTAAAAACCCAGTTTACATATACTTTTTAGTGGAATAAGGGAGCGAGATGTGTAATAACAGCGAAATTTCTCAACAATTATACACTTTGTAGTGGTATAAGGGAGAAGTATATCTGCGAAAACTTGAAGTTGTAAAATTGAGCCTGTCTTGAACTGTAGGTAGTTTTATATTAGAACGTGTCTCTATAGCCGCACGAGGTCCTACCAGATTTGCCAGAGCAAAAGAGAAACATCAGTAGTGAAGGTACGTGTTGACATAGGTCGGCAAGAGGTTCTTTAAACGTACATCCGGGACACAGGTCCCGGGAACTGTTCGGAGTTTTAGTTCAGTTGTTGCCCTCGGGAATCAATGCTAAGGTAAAGAGGTTCGCTCCGAGTGGTCAACCTTCACTCATGTCGGGGACTGCGGATGCCCAGTGTCAGTCAGACCAGTGATAGAAATACTTTTATTTTTGTAAATAGATATGTATATTATTACTACCCCCACCGATATAAACAGTTATACTCGTAAATATAAATGTTTGCATCGTTCGAGGAATCGAACCTGTGACCATTGGAGATAAGGTAGTGTGGTAGACTGCTAAACCGCCGTCTTGTATGCAGGGCTGGAGCCAGTTCCGGTTCTCGGTTCTCGTGCAGCGTGGCGGAGCGGCAGGCACTGCTGCAGCAGAGGAAGGCGCAGCTGCTGGCCGACGCGCGCCGCCGCTACCTCGAGCGGGGACGGGGCCCGCACACACCCGCGGGGCCCTCCACCGCCGCGGGGCCCTCCACCGCCGCGGGGCCCTCCACCGCCGCGGGGCCCTCCACCGCCGCGGGGCCCTCCACCGCCGCGGGGCCCTCCACCGCCGCGGGGCCCTCCACCGCCGCGGGGCCCTCCACCTCCGCGGGGCCCTCCACCCCCGCCGACGACCGCCCCGCCAGCTGAGCGCGCCGGCCCCCACGCGACTAACTCCACTCATGCGACTACACGAGGCAGGCCACACGTACTATATTAATCCAAAACGATAGCTTTGCGATATTACATGTACCATTTGACAGTTGCGAGCTATATTCGAACTATTGCAACTGTCAAATACATAATTGATTTCGAAATTTGATGTTTCATATAAAAAAAATTGTTAGAAAGTTCGCTATGTATTCGTGATTGTGATGTTGTATGTAAGCAACGTCCAGTCGCGTGTACAGCAGACATATCCCGTGTCGTAATCGTGTATTTCAAACTGTAGGTATAACGAGCGATACAACGGTATTATTGAACAAAAAACATTATTTTTGTCTAATAAAATTGCAGTATATCACTTTGAGAGGTTCAAAAATTCGCTTTAGACGTAACATATGAGTTTGCATTATATATATACTGCCGAGTTTAAGAGATCCCTAGCACTCGAAGCACACTGTTAACACTACTATAACACGCAACGGTTTATATAAAGCTAACATTACTATGATCTGTGTAAAGCGACATTTGTACACACTCTGAAAAGGGTCACGAAACATCTTAATGATTCATCTCGTGTTGTTTAGTAGATTGTAGTCCAGCTTCCCAAATACCGTCAAATGTTCGCTTGTTATACCATCCCATACATCCGTGACTCGAGGAGCATACTCAACCAACGACTCAATTAAACCACGGCACATGCCTGCATATATTGACTATTGTAATATTTATAACGGGACTATTGTCAAATATAATGTATTACGCTTCACTCATTTATTTTGACATTGCAATATGATTTACTGGATTTTAGATTATGACGTTTTGAAGTGTAACGGAAAGGAAATTGTAATCCTAATCCGGCAATTGTAGTAATAACAAATAACTTTGTGCTAACAGCTTTGGTCTGAAGCACTAATTCCCAAAGTGGTCTATATCGACCCCCATGGGTCTATGACAAACTTCAAGTTGTCTACGACATCTTGTTGTTTGTCACTTTATATTTTTAACTTTACTGCAGTTAGAAATTTACAAAAAAACAATACCATGTAAGAATGAAGGGTCTACCCAAAACCGAAAAACATGGCAAAGGGTCTCCACAAAAAAGGGAACCTCTGGTCTGAAGGGTAAGATTTAGCAGCATAATTATAAATTACACTAAGAATGGATCAGATCAAGCACGTCAAAGACGTCACAAAAGAATGTGACGACCGTGATGGTGAAATATAAACAATGGTTACCATCAGATATTCAGTCAGTCTGTTTGCCATTCCTATATGTAATATATTGCTATACTTAAGAAAGTTTTTTTTTAGGATTGGCAATTTCTTTTCCATCACACTGTATATATTATTATTAGGTTCTACATGTTACTTGTAAAATAAGATCGTAGGGCCCTATAGTTAAATGTATCGATGTAATTTATATTATTTATATGTATTGACAAGACGAGGAAAAATGTTGAGCCACTTGATACGGCACAATGATTTCATGAAAATTATTACTGAGGGGAAAATAGAAGGAAAGAGGGGGAGGGGAAGACCAAGGCACAGCTACATCAAACAAATTAAGAAGAAAATGGGAGTTGTGACGTATCAAGAATTAAAGAGCATGATGGAAGATCGCGGAAAGTGGCAAGAGTTGCACCGACAAGAGCGTAGCTCTTATATTATGAATGAATTGACAACACACGAGCGAGTAACGTAAAACTTTATGTGTATATTTATAAGGTTTCAAAATTGTTAACAGTGAGATTAAAACCACAAGTGACTCGTACACGATTTGACGTGGCTATATTATAATCTTTTGTCCGTAGTATTGTCGTTATTGTATCGCCGCATAAGGGCATATTACACTATATGTTGTCGTATAGAATAATAATATGATAATGTAATGACTTTAAAGTAAACGCGTTTACTGACGGCTCGAATTGCCACCCGATTTGCATAATCTCTGCGTCGAACTGTCAACTTTATAAATTCAACATGATCATCAGTCCACTGCAGTCCACTGTTGGAAATTGGCCTCTCCCAAGGCATGCCACTGGGCACGATCTTCAGCCCTTCCCTTCCAGTTACCCGCAACCCTACATATGTCATCGCTCCACCTAGCTGCGGTGCGTCCTACACTACGTTTGCCAACTCGCGGTCTCAATTATAAATTATCTTCTTGACGCCAGGGGTGTCTCGTGCGCATTACTCGACCCTTAAGAAACCTTCAAAATATCCCCACACTCTAGAGAAAAATTTTTCCTGGTATTTATGTATATTACAAATTAATATTTCGATAAATCTATATGCCAAATTATAACCACTTAAATATAAACTGATTATAAAATCTACGAGTTTTGCATTGTATCATAGGTATGGACGTTTTAGAGGTACTCGGGATCTTTCATCCCTTACCCTAAATATGTGGGGGTGGCGTGAAGGAACCAGTCTCGCATGTTATACTCCAGTTAGAGGCATTAAACGTTTGTATTGTGATCCAGTGATGACAGACAGTTACACAAGCAAGCCACTATAACTATCTATATCATTGAAATTAAATTGAAAACTAAAATTACGTAGAAAGCTATAAAGAACTAGCATCCCACTAATCTTTAAATTTCTCGGCTTGTTCTATACTATAACAAGCATGTATTATATATAAAAATCTTCGTCTTGAATCACTCTATCTATTGCTGAAAACTGCATTAAAATCTGTTACGTAATTTAAAAGATATAAACGAACAGACAACGTTTGTCACTTTGTTTTATACTATGTAAAGATACTTGACTCGATGTCCCTTAGCGTTGTAATTAATAATTGTTTTATTTTAATATTTTACAGCCATAATTTAATTTAGTATATATATGCTTCATGATTGTGATATTTTAATTAGAAAATGATTGTGATTTATTGAACACCTCTGACTAGCCCTGTGGGTGTGAAATGGTGAATAACATTGTTTTATAATTAGATATTTAAAGGTGGTAGCAAATTATGTGCATTCCCTGATGTATGCATACTGCTTAAGATTTATTTATTTATTCTTTTGCATACAAAATTGTAAACATGGCGGACTTACTGCCTGATGGCATTCTCTACCAGTCAACAGTAGCGGTGATCAGAGATATGGGGGTGCACTTTAATAATAGATATTAATATATAAATACAGATAAATAAATAAAAAATATTTATAGTAATTTCACACCTTGGTACTGTAAAATTATTTAAAATATGTACTAAAATTTCGTTAATTGTTGTTTATTGATAGTTGTTTAGTTGAAATATAAATACAGATCAATAAATACAAATTATTTATACATTTATACTAATTTCACAAGATGAGTATATAAATATAAGAATTTGTTACATTATTTAGAAAATATACTAACATTTCACACACACACACACGTCACTATGTATGTATATACATAATATATTTATTTATGTATTTATTAGAAATTTATTGCATTGTACAATAGGCGGGCTTAATGCTATTAGCATTCTCTACCAGCCAACCTTAGGGAGTGCAGAGATACTCGAAGGCGGTTAAGTTAATTAAATAATTAACTATAACTAAATTTAATATATTATATATATGTATATAAAATGATTTTGTTGGTTGTTTGGTTATTAAGACTTAGTTCATTCATTCCTTACACATAAGCATGCTATAAGCGAAACAGCTGCAGCTGTTTTTAAAGGTCAGTTGACAAAACTTTTATTTGGAACTAGCTGTACTGTTTCACCCACATGAAATGAATGTGCCTATGTGTTATTCTGATGTATAAGCTATATTACTGTGAAGTCTCATCAGAATCAGTAGTTTTTGCGTGAAAGAGTAACAAACAATCACGTTTGTAATATTAGTAAGATATTGTTTTTTATTTAGAACAATTAGAAACTAAATTCTACCATTTTACATAGGATATTTTTTTTATTTTAAATAATTAGATACCAATTTCCACCATTTTTTTTTGGTATGTTAATGGAATGTGGCACCCGCCTGCGCTAACGGTTTACGCTGGTGTGGCACCAGTGGAGGATGATAAAATGAGCATGAGGTCAGGTCAGTTAGTTCATCGTGACAAATTCACCAGGAATTTATCACGATGGTGTCCAGGGAGTGTGGAGGTCAACCTGACATGCTACCTAGCAATGGGGTCAACAGTCCACATTACTAATGACCCCTTTTCCCCCAATTTCCATCATTGTACTGTACCAAAGCTAACAATACTTGCTCTACAAAAGGGAATGCATATAATTTGTCAGCACACTATATAGTGTAATATATATTTTAGTTACTTTACAATCACGTTGGCGTGCGGTGTACATACCGACGAATTTAAATTTTAAGTTGTATATTTAATTGTTTTTCGACTTATTCTGAAAGCATACGCCACGTTGGAATGCCATTCAGTCGTACTGGGCCCTAACAACAGTGTTGCTTTATATTAGCGAACTCGTTATTTTTATACTATAATACCCTTGAAAATATATTTTTCTATTAATAATACTATAACTATACTAGGTACTTTATAATATTTATAATTAACAATATGTACTTATAATAGTTGAGCTGTAACAAATAATAATGTAATTTATTGTAATGGGAATAGAGCTCATTATTGTATCTTAATTTATTGATGTGATAACAGTGTAAACTATAAATATATATGGCAACTCCATTTTTTAGTGTTACCACAGTTAATAATACTATATACTGTTAAAATTACGTGCAGTGGTGCAATGTTTGAAGTACCCACGTTTTAAGTTTTCTACGTGGGTACCTGCGTCTCAACTATTTCAGCCGAGAAACATCCTGTATTGTAAGGTGTTTCGGTTTGAAAGACTTCCGGAATGACAACGTATGAGAACACCATGTATATAGGCGACGGTTTCTTTTATTGATGATAGTGGAACTTGCTGAGTGAAATGGTATACCTGCCTTCGTTATCAGTTTACTCTGACGAGGCACCAGTGGATGGTAAGACAGACACGATTTCAGGTCAGATAGCCCATTATGAACAAATCACCAGGAATTTGGCATTATGGTTTCCACTTGGAACTGTGTGGAGGTCATGATATGGTACATTGGTAGCAATGTGGTCACCAGTCCACATTACTAACAATCCCCTTTCGCCTCTATAGGCGGCACTTACCGTTTACCATCAGATGGTGCATCATATCTTTGGCAACTCAAATTATATCATTTTCGAGAGTAGTAAGGAACAAGATGGCGGCCTATGAACAGTGACTCCAAGACATACGAGCAGCCCGCGAACGTAGCGTCGTGTCGTGAGCATGTCTTATAATTATATATAACAGAATGGCAAATATCTGGTGGTAAATGCTAACCGATGTCTATACACATGAAGAACGCTACGTATATCACGTCATCACGTTACGACCGTGATACCGCTCATGCAATTGCCATTCTAGAGGTCTTGGATTTTATGACTGTTGTACCCTGTACTATAATTCTGTGTATTATTATATTTTTAGTAGATAGTATATTCTGGATGGTTGTAATAAAATGGACAACATGAGCAGCCAGACAATGTATTATTTATACTAAGACATATGCATGTAATCTGTACATTGGCTACCAGTAGATAATTATTTAATTGAATGTACTTAGTGGATATTTATTATTTGTAACCGATATCATATTGACATTATAACAGGAACTCTAATATCTTATAATAAATCTACGTTGTTGATGTATACCAGACATAATAATTTTAAATTTAATTGAAACTAGTCAAATAAAATGTAACAAATTGATTTTTTGTTTCACTATACATACTTTGATATAGAATAGAAAATCCTTTATTCAAATAAATTTAATTTAAGCACTTTTGAACAGTCATGACAATTTTTTAATCTACCGCTCATTAGGAAAGCTATCTCATCACAAGAACGAGCAAGAAACTTGTGTTGCTCTTTTAAATAATCGTTGTATATATGTATTTATCTATACATGTAAATAAAATTGTAGTGTCTGTCTATCTGTCTGTTTGTTCCGGCTAATCTTTGAAATGTCTGGACCAATTTTATGGATGTAATAAGGAGTAACGTAGGCTACTTTTATTTCAGAAAAATAATTTTAAATTCCACGCGGACGAAGTCGTGGGTACAGCTGGTAGTTAATAAAAATCATGGGTAATTCACACCGCGTTATCTGTGGGCTAATTATCTAACTTCGTTCGCAACGATTTTCGTATGTAACGTAGTGAAAATGACGTCATCTGTCAATAATGCGATTATGTTGACGCCATTTGACGCTGTCAACTAGCATTGCAACGGACCAGAGTTGCGTTTACAACTCTGGTCCCAAGCTCTAAAGTACTAGAGAACTGATAGAAAAATAAAGTATTTTTTAAAATAACAATACCCAGACAGATACAAATTATCACACTCATATATACAAATGTTTGCATTGTGCAAAGAATCAAACCCACTATTGCAAATAAAGTCGTGTGCTTAACCGTTACGTTTCATGTTGGTGTATTACAGGGTCTTATGATATGTCAAATCTACCATCAGTTCGGAATGATCTCGTGATGAGAAGAACTGACAAGAAACTCAACTCGTATTTTTCTTTAAATAAATGTTGTACATGTTTACAATAAAGACAAAACAAAATGCAGTTAAAAAATTATTTAATATTACAGCAAATTAACGTAATGTAAAGTTAACCTATGAAATTGATAACTACAATGTGCAGAACAAGGTGTGCGAAAATGAAATCGGCAAATCCCCGCTCGGCACTCAGCCCTTGGAACTCATTCTTGTTTTCTGGATTCACTTGTAATCTCAAACAGACTGTAACAAAGGATAAAATCAACCAGTAACATGTAGAAACACTGATCTTCAAATCTAATCTAACATGAACATGGTAGTGGAATTATACGACTGCAGAGGTTACAGGAGTAGCTTTGGGGAAAAATGGAGTCTTAAATTGATTTAAACAATAAAAATGTACTATGTAGGACTTGTCCCAAAAGAGGGATTTCTTCCTGTCATTCCCGTTTTTGAGTGACTGAAGGGAATTGTGGAGTGGTGGATACATGTACAATAAATAATATGTGTCACAATGTAATATTATGTTAACAAATAAAGTATTTATATCAGTTGTCTAGTACATAACACAAGCTGCTTAGCTTGGGACTAGATGGTGCTGTGTGAATTGTACCGACATATTTTTATTAGAAACGGTAAAGCATGTCTATTTACCTTTTGATGACTTAACAGACTTCAATGAAATTAGATGAGAAGATAGCACTAGGCGAGGTCTAATTTTTACTCGAAAAAAAATCAGACAATGTCATGTATAACAGGTTCCAATAAATTTTATATAAGCACTTTGGAATAGTGATATATTTTTTAATTACTAGATTAAAGCATATTTATCACAAGGCTCTTATATATAAATGTTATTCAGCATTACATTTTTAAGATTTCGTCTGAATACAAAGTGTGAAATGAAATATAGCTACTAGAGTAACAAAATAAAAGTCATAGTAATTACAGCAGACCAGTCCCTACAAGCAGCACCCATTCACGAGTATAAGAGGTGAGCCAGCAATCACTAACTATATTTTACAGGGCTCCAATGAATCGTGCCACCACGACAGCTAGATATTTAAAGTGAACATGACTCATAACACTCAACCATGTTACAACTCATTACTATGTGAAAGATCTGGTAATTGGTATAGTGAGATAGAGGTATCCACATAAATTACTTCAGACAAACTCCATCAATTACATACAGATGAAAGCCGGCATCCGGCGTTACAAGGGAACCACACTACGATTACACTGTATAAGCGATGTGTAGTTTTTCTATATGATACTAATATTCAAACAATATATACTCACCAGCAAGAACAAATGAGCTGACGGTAGATATGAAGCCGCTCAAGAATGAGTTAAAAGGAAACGTGCCGACCAAGCAACAGTATACGAACTGTATGACGGCGGTCAGAAATATGTAGAGTAGATAAGCATCAATGATTTTCAGTTTCTTCGAAGTTTTACTTGTGTATTCTTGGTACAGTTTAGGAATAACTGATACTAAAGAAGTCATTATGCCAGTAAATTTTATGTAATTTTATAATTTACAAATAATACGGTGTTTTCTAAGATACACGTCAGTAAAAAAGTTTGTGGTTTTAACATGTCAATGTCAACTGACATTTGGGAATTGACAGTTATTTTTTTTTTATAAATTTTTATGGCTTGTAACGAACTGTATTAAACGATTATATTGAGATGGCATAGCATATTTTTACATCTTATATCATACGAAGATTTTGTCATACTACTGTAGAAATTATTTTTTATTTAGTATTCTACGTTTCAGTCATAGTTTACTCTTTAGTGGTAATAGTGGTACCAAAGAGTAAAGTAAATATACCAGAAATACCTACTTGTGGTACATCAAAATACGTATCACAAACTATTTTCAGAAACATGTTTTTATGTCATTTTAAATAATATATTCCATTTAAAAGCTTGGTTTATGACCTAGAAACAATTGTGTAGTAATATTTTATACATTAACAGGATATTTATTACTAGCTACTCACTCCGTCTTGTACCTATTATATATATAAACCTACTTCTAAAATCACAATCTATTTAAAAAACCGCTTCAAAATCCGTTGCGTAGTTTTAAAGATTTAAGCATACATAGGGATGGACAGACAGCGACAGCAACTTTATTTTATATTATGTAATGATTATTTACATTAAATTGTCAGCTGATCATATCTGTTGTTGAACCGATGGTTGCTGGGCTTGGAGTATGTCGTCCACCTAGCGCGGGACGCCCGCTGCTGGGTGGACGCCATACCGCAGAGTTGTGGGTAACTCAGTTCAGGCTGAAGATCGTGCCCAGTGGAGTGCATTGGGAGATCTATGTCCAGTAGTTGTCTCTAGAAGCCTAATGATGACGATCGAATTAAATAAAATACGTGATTATAAAAATATTCTATTTATTATTCAAATTAATACAAACAACACTTAGTTAAAACTGGGCAATATATCACAGATTAAATTCACAATGTAGTATTTTTATTTTAATTATCATTTACCAGCGAAGATGACTAAATAACTATTGTATGTATTTACATAATATAAAGTTATTGATTTAGAAAGGGCCTTTGCTTAAGAATTGCAATGTCAAGGACTGCAGATGTTATGGAATAGCTATTTTTATTATTTACCGAAATATTTGTTTGACTAGATAGCGCTGTAGTTATTTCATGGTTATTAATTGAATATAATTACAATAATTGTGTTAAAATTAAACATAAATTATAAATCATGATTATCGAATAACTCTCTAATTTTCTATACTTTTTTTAATTTACCTTTGCATTTCCCGTGTCTTTTTTTGTAATGGTTGATGATGTAATAATTATAACCATTTATAACTAAACATATGATAATATCACCAGGAATTTAACATGATGGTATCCAGGGGTGACAGCGTGGAGGTCAACCTGACATGGTAGATACCAATACTACCAAGCCATTCCCCCATTTACCATGTGTGGTAAGCAGCATATTGGGAACTCAAACTTTTAAAGTTGTATAACTACTTATACCACATAGCTAGACAGAGGGCGTAGTTAGGGAGTAATTAGTAATGGCGGAATTACGGATACGAATTCCCCTTTGTGGGGGCTGCTTTGATGCCAAAGAAACGGCTCACGTAATCCTAGAGTGCTTGCAGTGGCCACACAACGAAAACAAATCCGCGGAAAGGTGAGGTCGCTCCATAAAGCCTGTGAAGATACCAGACTTCTGCGGTTTTGGGAGGAGCTTGGCTGGCTACTTTAGTAGTCTGGCTCTACACGCACAACGGCCCGAATGAGATGCTAATTGAGGAGACTGGACATGGTCCAATTTACATTACATTACTGTAATGGCGGATAACATAGCTAGAGCGCGTAATGAATCCTCCATTTAGTATCTGAGTTATCCCTCTAATAACAATGTGCCATGTCAGATTAGTCTCCACCTTTTGGAAACTATCAGTTATTTCCCGATAAATTTCTTACCATCCTCTACAGCTGCCCCGCCAGCGCTGGCGAGAACAGTATTCCATTATCATCCATTAAAAAAAGTACTATCCAAAGCACAGTATATTATCGGTATCCTATTTTAGTATAAAAATTAATTACTTTAGCAAAGTTAGTCAGCAATTAAAATATATACGCATAATTGTGATGAAACCACACCTTCTTCACCCTATAGTCTGTTTTTTAATACCGGAGATAAATTTGACGTTTCCGATGTTGCCATGTTTTTGCATTTTTGCACTTAAATAGGGTTATGGCACTATCGGAAATTGATATTAATTAACATGTTTATAGGTAATTCATAAAAAATGTGTGCATGTGTTTATATAAAACGAATTACCACAAAATTAATAAAGTATATGTATTAATAAATTGGTTGTTGTATCAAAATGGATTTTTTTATTTTTCACTAAAATAAAGACTAACTGCCTTTTTTATAATGTCATATATGATAAGACAACAGCAATGGAAACACATTTTCAACACACACTCAAAATTTAAAATTCTGCCGTGGAAACGTCATTAAAAGCTTTAAAACTAATATGTTAAAATAAAAGTTTCCGATTAAACAAATCGGTATCGCAGGTACACCACTACCCCGCTACAGGTGGTATATTCTTTAAAAATTTGACATTTACACCTGTCAATTTAGTCTCCGGGATTAAAAAACAGACTATAATAGGGTGCGGATGATCCGTACGATGTCATATCACAAATTTGTGATAGCTACCAAACTGTATACCTTATTATAACGTGTAAAACAACGTTTGAAAACTTAAGTAATAATAATCTTTTAAAATTATAATTCTCATTATAATCAGTTAACCTGCCACAGGCTTATATTGTAATTAATTTAGAACAGAATCGAATAAATGTATTACAACACACGCTAACAATAAAGAGGGGGAGGAGAGATTTGTTAGTAATGGGAACTAGTAATTCTTATTGCTAGCAATGTACCGTGTTAGGTCGACCTTTACGCGGTTCCTCCTGGAAACCATCGTGATAAATTTCTAGTGAATTTGTCACGATGGGCTAACTGACCTGACCTCATGTTCATCTTATCATCCTCCACTGATGCCCCGCCAGCAATGTACTACGTCAGGTTGACCTTCGCGTAGTTACCCCTGGTACCCATCATTAAACATTTTGGTGAATTTGTCATGTTGAGCTACCTGTCGTCGTCCACTGGTGCCCCGCCAGCATAAACCGTTAGCGCAGGCGGATGCAACATTTCATTATCATCCCCAAAAAAAAAAGATAACGACGCTCACAGATAAAAAAGAAAATACCAGTAAATTATTATTTATTAGTAACAATTACATTTGAGGGCCTCGGTGGCCTAGCGGTTTAGTACACCGCTTTACGTTCGATGGTCGCGGGTTCGATTCCTCGCATGGTACGTCTGGGTGTTTTCTGTGTACATTATGTATGTATTTAGAAAAATAAAGTATTTATGTATTTATATCAGTTGTCTAGTACCCATAACACAAGCTCAGTTTAACTTGGGACTAGATGGCGCTGTGTGAATTGTCCAAAGGTATTATATTAATTTATTAATTACAAAATAAATTATAATGCTTATAGTTATCTACTACTTGCAGTATCGCGACCGCGCGTAATATGTTGTCTATGGATCCCATTACAGCATTATGCCGTGACACTGATGCTCAGTGAATCCCGAAAAAAAAAACAATAATAATAAGTGACTTAGTTATTACAAATCCACAGTTAGTTACATTATTTATATTATTAACTGGGTCTTAACTTCATTTTATGGCAAGCTGTATTCGCGACTTCATCTGTTGTTCGATTTAACTTATTTTTCTAAAATAAAAGTAACTTAAGTTACTCCTTATTACATCAGCTACCTGCCAACAAAAGTCCAATCAAAATCGGTCCAGCCATTTCAGAGATTAGCCGGAACAAACAGACAGACAGACGAAAATTGGAAAAAATGATATTTTGGTGTATGTACCGTATTTATATTCATATGCATGTAGTAAAAAAAGTTTTTTTCAATATTACAAACAGACACTCCAATTTTATTTATATGTATAGATGTATAGATGAAGGTACGGTAAGTTTTACCTCTCTCAACGTTTCATTAATTTTTTTTTTACACGTTAACCTCTTTTATTCATGTTAACACCCAGTTAATAATATAAATAATGTATATTAAACACGAAAGTTTAAAAATAATCACAGTTATTTCTTTCTATGTGCATCACCACTGCCATCTATAGTCCCAATTGTAAACTTATCACATTTTCTTTTAAATCCGCTAGTGGCAGGTTCTGAAAATCTTTTTTCTTCAAACGACATGTTAGGAAGGCGTCCAGTGCTGGCAGATCTGCGTATCACTGGCTCTTCAGCACCACGTGACATTATTCTTGGTCTGTGCTCATTATTATGAATATTTGGCCGCTCGACACCACTTCCTAGAGCACGGCTAACAACATCTAGGAGCTTATCGAGGGTAGCTCCACTAACGTTGTTGCTACTCCCAATTTGTTGCACTTGCTCTGCATTACTCCGTTGTGTGGGGAATATCCTGTTACGTTGCTTTACACCGATACTCAATAAACCAAAACTTAAATTAAATGGAGTGTTTAGAATGAAATTAAATATTACCATTACTAGGAGTACCATCAGTAAAGCATTAAACGATACAATGAGAAGACCATAGACTATTGCGTCAAACGGCGGCCATAGACCATCTGAAAACAAATTAAAAAGCTTTACGATATATGTATTTTTTAATTGTATTATGTTATCTAAGATTTAGAACGACAACATTGGTGGTCTAGAGGTTTAGCACACCGCTTTACGTCCGGTGGTCGCGGGTTCGATTCCTCGTATATTCGTATGATTGTTGATATCTGTCTGGGTGATTTCTATGTATATTATGTATGTATTTACTAAAAATGTATTTCTATAGAATTGAATAGAGAATAGAAAATCATTTATTCAAATAAACTTACATTGAAGCACTTTTGAAGTCATCACATTTTTTTAATCTACCGCTCATTCGGAAAGCTGTCTCATCACAAGAAGAACGAGCAAGAAACTTGTGTGTTGCTCTTTTAAATAATTTATTCTTACTTACAATTTAAGTTTAAGTGTGTGAATACAAACTACCGATTATCACTAATTCAATTAAATAATCAAATAGAAAAATATTGTATACACAACAACTGGTTAAACAATTAATAAGAGGAAATCAGTCATAGTGATTTTAGTTTTTCATCATTATTTACTTGAAAGTGTTACCTGTATAAAAGGGGTTTGTTCAGTATTAGTTAGTATTATTATTATAAAAAATGTGTTACAGTTACTGTCTGTTCATAACATGTTAACTCTTACCAGTAATACCAGCGACCATTGTCTTGACTGTCCCACTGAGAGCAACCATGGGCTCCGATACTATAGACGTGAACATCCTTAAAGCAATTTTAAGAGGATTCATGTGCTTCATAAAGACAATTAGATCCGGAGATGGAATATCACATTCCGATTTCCAGAACTGCCATTTGCAGGTTTCCAGAGCCGATAAAAATTGTTGTACTTCTTTCTGTTCTGCTTCCTGTAATTTTTATTATCATTGTCATTATGCTTACAACTTTGGTGAAGTGCATTAAAGTCATTAACATCATCCAGAGGGCCTAAAATATTACACTCAGAGGACGGTATTGAGTGTCCCTTGGTACATCACCAACAACGAAATTCACAAAGAACTGGGCGTGCTACAGTCAAGGAGGAGCTCCTCAATTGCAAAGCAAAATATAAAACTCTACCCTAAGTGACAGTAAAAATGCGACATTATGTAATGCAGTAATCTTAAGGAACAGATCCTCCCGTTGAGGTGAACACTCCATTCCCAGTTCCCACAACCAAAATATCTGCTCATAGTTCCGGGACTGATTGCACATAGGAAAGGAAAAATTTGTCATTACAAATTTTTTTCATTATATTTTATGGAAAACTAACTCTGACCCGGACTTTGTAGACAAACTTACACCAGTTTATTTGTCTAAATAAAAACAAAATATCTTTATTCAGGAAAATCTATCACAGACTTTTATGATATGTCGAATCTACGGTCAGTTCGGATTGCTTACGAGAACTGACACGAGTATGATTGTATCTGCCTGGGTGTTTTCTATGAATAATATGTATATGTATGTATTTATGAAAAAATATATATCTATGTATTTGTATCAGTTATCTAGTACTCATAATACAAGCTGTAACTTTTTAGCTTAACATGAGTCTAGATGGCTCTGTGTGAATTGTCCTGAGATTATTATTATTATTACGTTTGCTTATAAATAATGGTGACCAATTATTGACAAATATAAATTAATTCATACCTTGTAGGATATAAACACTTCATATACATATACCATAACGAATATTATGATAACCACATGTTTATGGGATATGTGCATCCAAAGCCATATGAACAGGGTCGTCGCCCCCAACGAGCCCAGAACCCATGTTATCTGTGTCTGAAACATGAAACGTTACTGAATAATTCTAAATGAAATTTAAATACTTTTTTATAGCATAGGAGACAAACAAGCTAGCGTCACACTTGTCACACTTGTCAACACTCGTCAACTTTTGTGTTTAATATACATTATTTTTATTATTAATCGGGTCTTAACATGAATAATTTTAAGGCAAAGGTATTTCTACATAATTTCTACATCTCTCAATGTTTCGACTAGATCGCACTTCATGGTAACAAGTTGACTTACTCAAGTTAGTCATTGTAGAACAACAGAGAGGATGGCTTAAAATTATCTTCTGTTTGGAATCTTAAATCTGTATTGTAAATCTTAGGTTGCACTAGTGGTGCTCTCAAACTGACTACATTAAGTGTGACATGCTTTTTGAACCTTTCAGCTATCAAATTGGACTCTTATTTTCTGTGTATTTTTGGTCAATATAAGAGTTACCACAATATTTAACTATATTAATAATGTGCACTTAATATGAAAGTTTAAAAATAAGTACACTTAGCAATAAGTGCAGCCCAGGGTCCCGTGGATATAAAGGGCCCACTTGAAAATAATACATTGAAATAAAAAAAATCTAAAACATTAAAAAGCCTATCATAAGGTTGGCAACCCTGAGATTAATAAACTCATGCTCCTATATAGAACGGAATGGGGACTTCCCCGTAGCTTATTTTTTACTTGAGCAATATAATTAGGTAGGCCCTATGTAGTTTTAGGCCAGGGCCCAACAAATTCAGGATCCGCACCTGCTTATTACCTTATACTCCACAAGATAACATTGGATGTAATCACTCCAGGCCATTTTAATATTATCAAGCAGTGTCGATTTATATACAGCATCTTCTACATAACTCATGGACCGTCGGAGATTTGTTTCAGTGATCACTGTCTCGGGCTTTAAGATATTCTGCAAACTGGCCCATCTCTTCGCATCAAACTTCATTTGCAATATTACATCAATACTACCATCAGTGTTTTCCTGAAAATTGTAGATAATTATTTATTTATATAACATTTTAATTTACAATAACTACTTATGTACTAGTGAGAAGAATATTACTAATAAATTAATTTTTCGTTTTGAATACTGCATAATTGGCAATCAGCTTTTTATATACAACAGCCCAATCTGATGACTCTTTTTCTTTAATTGTTTTTTTCCTTTTAAATGAATGATGAGGCTCAATGAGTCAGTCTTTAGGCATTCTCTGTGAATCTTTCCGCTAGTCCCTGTATGTCATGCTTTTAAGTCGAGGGAATCGTAGACTCCCCAATCAATGCAGTTGTGCAGCCAGTTCATTTCTGTGTCCATTTAGTCTAGACTGGTAGCTTCTACTGTAGGCTTATTCTATTTCCTGTTTGACAGTGTTTAAGTTTATGTCCATATACATAAGCTTGTTATTTATCTATTGCGGAATATTGAACATGCTTCAAAATATTAAAGTAAAATTAAATAAAGAAGTACTTAATTTTAACATACTTATACATATAAATAGTTAGGATTAAGTCAATATCAATAATAAAGTTGTATAATGTTGTTATTGTCACACTCACTATCATAGCTTTTTATCAATTAAGTTAATTATAAGTAGGTACTTAAACATAGTAATGTGTCAGCAACAATATGATTATTCACATTAAAACATGATTCTTATGTGTAAACATCTTTTAATCCATAATAAATACTACCCTAGTATGATTAATCAGTCATTTCAGTGGGTGGCTACATGGTGGCTTTGGAACAATAGGTTTGCCGAACTAATTTATTACACAGAACCAAACACTGTTACTAGATTTATATTAACGGCCTCTGTGGTCTAATAATTTAGCACTTGTACCACTGTACCACTGTACCACCATACTTCCGATGGTGATGAGTTTGACTCCTCGCAGTACAAATATTTGTATTCATGAGCATGATTGTTTGTATCAGTCTGAGTGTTTTCTAAGTATACTTACCGTGGGTCTAGATGGCGGTGTGTTAATTGTCCAGGGTTCTTTATTTAATGTTATAATATATATATAGCAATAAAAGTGAGACTGTACATACTTCATAAGTTTACCTTAAGTTGACCGCCTTTTAGTACTATTCCGAGCATTCTTCTAAAAAATATATCTCCAATTCCAAAATTATTTTCTTTGGACGCATGTTTCTTCGGAACATATCTTAAATCAGGTGGAACATCATCGTTCAGGTCCGGCACATCATTGCTATTATCGTCCCACGGATCCGGACCAGTTTGGTCGTAATTAGTGACACAAGAAACAGAAAAACTTAATAAAAACAACACAATTTCACATTTATACATTATAAACAATTGAATATTTTTTATATTTTAATAATAATATATTATACAATGAATAAAAAACTAAACATATGAGAATATATACAAATTCTGTTATTTTAAATTATTTAACAGGCACACAATATTAGAGTATATATTAAATTAATTTATAATTTATAGAAGATAAAGAGATAAAATACTTAAAAATATAGATAAGTTTTTTAAACTTCTTAGCAAAATATAATTAATACTCTGTAGAAGTAATACAGGTTTGACTTTAAAAAAACATCGCTATTGACTTCGACGTATAAGTATCGATAAACGATTAATTTCAAATTTATCGAATAATAAATATCTACGTGTCTCTTTGGACTATCTGATACAAAGTCATCTTACGTTTTGTCTTTTTTAGTTTTGTTTTCTGTAATTTTACGCATTGAATTATTTCTACTAATACAAGCCTTTTGGCTGTACGCTGTACGGTAAGAGGATATTTTCTCCCTTATACATGTTACGATACTTTGACCTACAATAATTGCTAAAAATGGGAAAAAGTTATGAGAACTTTTTTGCTACGTTTCCACAAACTTTTCGGTACTTATTTTGTTTTATATGTAATCGAATACTCACTATCGATATTTGATGTTACGAAGACTTGCTATCGATGTCTGTCGAACATCCCTATACCATAATAAGCAAATGTGCATGTCATGTCATTTTCTCTGAATCGTACATAATTTGTTTTATTTGTGAGAATCAAGCGATATTGAATAGAATAAAAATGTTGAGTGTAACTGAAAATTTTCCCGAGTATGCCGTACCAGGCGCTAAACAGGTTCGTTTTGAGCCGTACGCAGACAATGGGGGAAGCATAGTCGCGATCGCCGGCGACGACTACGCTGTCATCGGTGCTGATACCCGTTTGAGCACAGGCTTCTCCATCTATACCAGGGAGCAGAAGAAGCTGTTCAAGTTATCAGAGAGCACGGTACTCGGCGCGACAGGATGCTGGTGTGACACTCTAACCCTGACCCGTTTGCTCCAAGCCCGCATGCAGATGTATGAACATGAACACAACAAGTCGATGTCTACGCCGGCCGTCGCGCAGATGCTGTCGACCATGTTGTACTATAAACGTTTCTTCCCGTACTACGTGTCTAACGTACTAGCAGGTTTGGATTCAGAAGGCAAGGGATGCGTTTACAGTTACGATCCAATTGGACACTGTGAGCGTTCTAACTACCGCGCTGGGGGCTCCGCGGGCGCACAGTTGCAGCCATTGCTAGATAATCAGATAGGTCTAAAGAATATGCAGAATGTGACAGCAGCCCCAATCCCCAGAGAGAAGGCACTAGCTCTGCTGAAGGATGTGTTCATCAGCGCTGCAGAACGTGATATTTACACTGGTGACAGTATCTACATACTAATCATTACAGCTAATGGTATTCAAGAAGAGAAATTTGAACTCCGTAAAGATTAGTGTAATTAAATATAAATAATAAAATGTCTATTACTTCTATAACATGGGTATTTTTTATTTCACTTGCATATCATAACTAACTGTGCCCGCGACTTCATCTGCATAAAATCACAGTACTTCCATATAAATTTTCAACCCTTTCTTCGCATTAAAAAGTAGTGTCTGTCCATTGTCAGGGTCTAGACTATCTGTGAACCAAATTTCATTTAAAAAGGCTCAGTAATTTTGGCATGAAATTGAGACAGACAGAATTACTTTTGCATTTATAATATTTTATAATATAATAGGAATAAGAATGAATAATTAAGAAATGATTAACAAATAACCAATTTATTTAATTAAAAATAATTACAAGGTAACCATGATATAACTTATACATTTTGTTCAAAATTATTTACATTTATTTGCAATAAAACAGTAGCAACATATAATACAGTTATTTATTGTACTTAGGCATAACAAATATATTCTGTGGAAAGATTTTCTCAAACATTTCTTGCACTACTTCTTGGATTGAGCTGTCGCCTATCACGGTGGCTTTTAACCTGGGCGGGCTGGTGTTACCGGCTACCAGCGGGTGAATATTATAACACAGCTCCACTTTATCTTTAGGAGGTATTGTCACTGTGAGTTTTTTATACCCAGAGAACATATATGCATCAGTTCCCTCAATGGTGAGACTTAGTCTAATTGGAGTATTTGATTGGCCAATTAATGTACATTTTAGAGACACTGAAGTTTGTAGTTCTACCACTTCTGGATAATTGACTTGGATTGCTATTGGACATACATCTATAGGGAGACCGGACAGTGCTGTGCTGCTCATGACACAATGGCCATCAGTGTTGCTCCTCCGCTTCCAAGTTATATTATATAAACCCACTCGGGTTGGATTGTCTTTTGGTTTGTATTTTGCTTGTATGCATACAGCATCTGAAGCTATATTTTTCTCAGCTACTGCTAAATTATTTATACAAGATGCTGCTTTATCATCATCTAGGTTTATAAAGCAATCAACTACTTCTAATTCTGTATTCAATATTAGCAAATCCCATGGACTTAAAATTTTTAATTGTGGCATAACAATAAATGGATCAGTCACAAAACATTTGGTAATGGGTTTGAAATTCATAGCAACAAAATTTGTGGTTACTTCAAAAGGCTTTATAACAGTTATTTTTGTGGTAAAATCCTTTACACATTCTAACTTTGATATCTCTGGGAGGTCTATATAATATGATACTCTAATTTGGACAGTTGTAGTAACAGTTCTATTGGTTTTTAAATAAAAAGTGGATGCATGAGCTGTTAAGTGAGCAAGATTTCCTACTCCTATTAAAATTGGTTGTGCTTGCGATTGTCCTTCTTTTAAACTCAGTTCTGTCACAGATTCTGGATTTGGATTGTCAGGGGAGCTTAGTAGAGAGAGTGCAATCTTAACATCATACAAAGAGGTAGTTTCATTATTTGTTATTGTAAAGTTTGTTGGGAACCATTCTCCCTGCAGTGCTGGACTAGCATTGTTTATATCTATTGACAATTTGCACTCCCTTGATGTTATAGTTGCTACAGGTAAAGGTACAATACAGTCAAATTCATAATCTGTCTTAGGACTTAAAATGAAATGTAATAGCTCTGGATTTATTGCAGTGTCTGTAGTTTTGTTTTCTCCTATTTTAAAATTCATTATGATTTTTCGTTTCTTATCAGAATCTAGGACAAAAGAAACATTTTTAATAATTAAATCTGAGCCATTGTCTTGTGGATTTGGTTTGAACTGGCACAGGAATCTCTTTACTTTGTGGCCTACTAGAGAAATTAAACTATTTCCATCTTCCGTTATTGGAATCTCAAGAGTCTCTGTAGGACTTGACACCGTTATATAGGCCTGTACTGATTCTAAGACCGTCTCATAAGTTAATCTTACATAGAGCTCCACTTCCACCAATTGATCCATTCTGTATTTTTGCTGTTTGAATTTTGGTTTTACTTCCAAGAAACTGGAAATATTTGACATATCAACAGCCACAGTAAAAGGCTCTTTCTCAATGGATGACTGCCAAGCCTCTAGTGCTTTGTTATGTGAAGAGACAGGCAGGTCTGGTTCTGGGGCAGGAATATTCAGGTTGAGTACTGACATTATATTTCTAAATATTCTGTCCTTGTCTTTATTTGGCACCTGTATGTAGTTTGACAATGCTTCTACAGATAATTGTATGTAATCTTGTATTTTTCCTGATAAATACGCACACTGCAAAGCTCTGTTAAGTACATATGATGCAAGGAACCACCATTTCTCTTTTCTGTAATCCCAAAGCATATGTGTCAGCAATGTTAGAGCCTTCCCGTAATCAGCAGAGTAGAAATATTCATTGGCCATTTCAACCACAAGTTGTTTCCTCATTCGAGGTGAATGGAATGTTTTGAATTGTGAAATAGCACAGCCCAGAAAACCAATAATCATTAAAGAGTGATTAAAAATTCTCTCATTATATTGTAATGCTAGAACTGCAGCCTGCTCTTTTTGAGGGTCATGAGGGTCGGCGCTGAGACGGCCCGGCCGCCACGGTCTCTGTCCATAGAATTCAACATTGCCCTCTAATGGATCAGGAGGTGGGGGGTATTCTAATACTTCAGTGCACACTGATCTCATTGCCTGTCTTCGTTTTACTGTAAACTGTGCTGCATGCTGGTAATAAAATCCAGGATGCTGCGACTGTATTGCTGGAAGCCCGGCTTTTATTGCTTCATCAAACAACTCTCCAAAGGCACTGTATTGTCGCGCTATCCAGGCATAATGTTCAAATAGCAATTCCGTAGATCCTACTCTGCTCTTGTACCTTTCAATGTGTGCCTTAAGTTGTGCTATTGCATCTCGCGGCAAATTTAAAGCAAACAATAACTTGCAAAGTTTGTAGTTAATGTATCCAGCAACAGTTCTCACTTCGTGCATATTGGTGTCAACTGTTCTGGTCTCTAGTAAATTTGTGTATGCATGCATGTAGTGCTTGTGAGCTGTACTCAGATCCTGCTTCAATTCGTTGAGGTACCCCAGCTTGAACTGGTGCCGCACGAACAAATACTGATGTGTGGTTTTATTCAAGTGGTCCCGGTGCTGCTTTATATTTTTTGTTTCATGGTGGTAATAGTTCTGAGCTATATCATAAAAAGCATTTTCTAAACGAATTATGTAACCTATCAGATGATCGCTATGAGGAAGAACAAACAGTGATTTTGATTGTATTTCACAAGCAGCACAGAGAGCTTGCGCCCGCTCCGCTCCGAGCATGTACTCTGACGGTGGGGGCGACTGGCCGCTCTGTAGCACGACTACCGCGACGCGGGTGGCGTGCCCCTCCACTGCTGCACGAATAGACTGCACCTTAGAAGCACACTCAATAATTTTTTCATTCCATTGTGGATCATTCCATTCCATATCGTAAAATATGACGACCACGGCGGGTATTGAAGAAACTCGTTTCTGAATCCAGTTTTTCTTCAGAATACCTTTCGGTATGTACCATTCATATGAGTTTCTTTTAGGCTTTACCACTGGGAATTCAAATGTGTTGTTGAGTAGTTTGAAACGAACTGACGCGCGATCTGGCCGCCTGTTGTTAGCGAAGGCGTCCCATATTTCCTTGTGCACTGCATTATTGACGGCGTCTAGTCCGGACAGGCCAATAAGTGCCAACGGCTTCAAGATTATCTCGGGCGGAAATTCTGTGTAATCACTTGGCTGTGTCGCCATAGTTTATTCTGTACAAGACAGGTAACAAGATATAATTGTGGGATTTCCTTTACTTATTCATATCACAGCACAGACAAAACGAACAACCTCATTGTCTTTATTCTAAAAAGCTGCATTCAACACAAAATTCGTCCATTGCTACAGTCCATATGAAATTGTCAATACGAGTCTGTCATAAAATACAATTGGTAAATGTCAAGTTGACATTTAAACGTATAATTAGAGATGTCCAGACCGATTGTAACTCAAAAAACAAATTGGATCGACGAATTGACTAACAATAATACATATTATTTGCATGTGTGCTAAGAAACAATGAAATTCAGTCGAAATGTATACATTATCTGCGAAAGTTTGTGAGTATGGATGAATGTTCGTTACTCTTTCATACAAAAATTACCGAACGGATTTTAATGAAACTTTGCAGTAATATAGCTATAACGTATAATACAATATATCGTAACCACATCCGAATAACACATAGGCTATAATTACGCGAAATCTAATGATAAATGTTAAGTAAATGTGATGCAGACGTTAAGAAGACGAAGTTATGCGGGGCAGCTAGTTTAATATAATAATACTTTCAACAAAGCTCAAGAATACCTATATACCTATATGAATATATAATAATTATATCTTTAATTTAATCGATATTTTTAATTAATATCGATGATCGATATTTCGGCGCTCTCATGTACACAAGTACTTCACTGTCAGTCAGTACATTTTTGGCAATCAAATTAAATCATTAAGTTAAATTGTCACTTAAGAATAGATGAAAGACCAACATTTCCATAACCTGAAAGTAACAATTGTTTTCCAGATTTTGTATATTGGCAAATGCACAGAAATGCCATGTCATAAAAAAGAGAAAAAAAAACCCCAAGCAAACATGGCTGTAAGGCCAGTTTCCTTTAATGTTTCTTTAAAAAGGTAAACAGAACAAAAAAAAAAGAACGAACGAATGAAATTATGGATGACAGGAAATGTTTTGCATTATAAAATAAATGCCAAATCGAAATTTAATGTAATATTATTATTTATCATTAGTTTAAAATAAATATATACAGTAGGAATCTCTAAAACATAGCTGGAATACAAAAAAACGTGCTAGTTTTATCTGCTTCGTAATTGTAACAATGTTTTTAACAAATCTGAATTATTAACCAAAAAGTGTGAAAATATGAATTTTGAACATAGAGTTCTTGTGATATTGAAATTCGGAGTACTATAATATCTGTCATATTAAATTTTAATAATCAATTGAATAAACTCGAACGCCATGACATCAGAAGCACTAGCGTCACTCACAGCAACCTATACTGATTCAGAAGGTGAGGAAGATATTATTGAAGATGAACAGACACCAGAGAAGGAAGAGCCTAAGGTTATACACTCGGCACCAGCCAGTCCAAAGAAGCCGGATGAGAGTAATAAACCGGCGTCTGCACCTGTGTCACCGAAAAGAAGGTTAGTATCTTATGTGGACGACACTATAGTCTCTGATGAGGAACCTATGTCTCCCGCGGCTGACAATCAGGACGACATGCGCCGCCTGTCCATGGAAACAGATACAGACGAGGCTGTACCGAGATCTGACCCAGACGATTCACAAGATGGACTCAGTATACCCCCAGAACCAGCCGGAAAGTGTCCTAAAGAATTACAAGAAACAATAGCTAGGTACTATAGTAGAATGCTGAATGAGGGACTAGATATGAATAAAATGATTCAGGACAAAAAGAACTTCAGGAATCCTAGTATTTATGAGAAATTAATACAATACTGTGATATAAATGAGCTAGACACGAATTACCCGCCTGAAATTTATGATCCATTGAAATGGGGGAAGGAGTCTTATTATGATGAATTGGCGCGTGTACAGAAAGTGGAGATGGACCGACGAGAGAAAGAAAAGAAAGAAAAGTTAGCTAAGATAGATTTTATAACAGGGGTAGCTAAGAAACCGGAGAGTGATGATGAGAAGAAGAGGAAGTCGAAGTGGGACCAGGCGGCACCGAACATGGGCTCCAAGCCAACTATCAAGCAGCCGGGCCTGGTGCAGCAGCCTCTCACCAGCAATGTCACTGGGACTAAAGGCACCATCATTTCAGCATTTGGTTCACTGCCAAAGAAACCTAAAATTTGACTAGAAAAGAGTAAAAGTAAATCTGTATTGAGTAAATAAGTTGTAAATTATAGTAAGTATATATCTTACAGTGTTTTATTTATGGATTTAATCCATATTATTTAATAATCACCTAAGAACATTTTAACATGTATGGTTTATACAGTATACCACTAAAAAGGAAGCATATAAATCCATTGCAGAACTACATAAAATGAAATATATACCTATATTTTAATTATTTATAATTTTGTGCTGATAATAAAATTAGAGTTGGTTTTGTTTATTTAATATTTCTCTGTCTAGGTTCATAAGCTTAGCCTAAGACATAGGCCCTCTATAAAAGACTCCATGTTCAGAGGAACATGGAGTCTTTTGCCTTTTGCCTGTCTTTGGATAGAGATCCAACACTTTCCTTCTTGCCCCCTTCCCCCTTTCATGTTGGTCCAGTCACTGACTTATCATCCTATATATCATATACCTATACAGTGTAATCATATTATAACATACTAGGTACCAAGTACATTATCATATTATGCAGATGTCTGTTTGTTGTTTTCAGACTTTAAAAAGATTTGTTCTATTAAAGATACATTGGCTATTTTTTTATTAGGCCATAGCTATAGTATGTTTCATTCTGGAGGTCAATACCTCCAGGTTCTTTAGTCCAAGTCCAGGTTCCTTAGTCTATGGAACCTAGTACTAGCAATGTAGCCTAACTTCTTTAGGTTAATCTCCAAGCAGTTCTCCCTGGAAACCATCGTGACAAGTTCCTGGTGAATTTGTCATGATGGCCTAAATGCCCATATTATCATTTACCACTGGTAAATTGCCCCGCCAGCGTAAATTGTTACCGCAGATAGGTACACTATTCCATCGTCATCATTAAAAAATATGTAATTTATGCTTGCTATATATCGCAAGCGTGAACTATTGTAATTATGAGACTGATTTAATACTTCATTTTCATCTTTAATCCTTATCTAAATTTATATAACTCAAAGGTGACTGACGTAGTGATCTATCAATGCACAGCCGAAACCACTGGACGGATCGGGCTGAAATTTGGCATGCAGATAGATGTTATAACTTAAGCATCCGCTAAGAAAGGATTCTACCCCCAAAGGGATAAAATAGGTGATGAAAATTTATATGAAACTGTCAATTTTAAACTCTTCGGGCTGAGACTTTGCATGCTTAAAGCTATTATGACGTAGGCATCCCCTAAGAAATGATTTTGATAAATACCACCTCTAAGGGGAGGGAGCGAGGGAAGCCGCGGGCAAAAGCTTGTATTTAATAAAACTGAATCCCCATACTTGATATTGTAACATTCCCCTAGGAGTTATCCGCCATCATAGAATGAGGTCGGATCGGTCAGTCATTCGTTCTTTCATTTGTTTGTCGATGTCAAAAACAGTTCTGTTTGTGTCTTTGTTTGTGATTCCGATATTTATTTTTGTTCACTGTCGTGCAGTGTCAAGTCGTTTGGTAGTTTTCGCGTATTTTGATATATATTCTTTTATTAATAATATTTACAATGGCCGAAGCGCCGCAAAATGATCCCGTGCCGTCATCTAGTGAGAATGTGATTGTTTGTAATGAACCAGATGACGAAGATGAGCCGGTGGCAAAAAAGCGCAGAATGTCTGACAAAGAGTCCGACAAGCTCGAGCACAGGCTCGGGGGCATTCTGTGCTGCGCAGTTTGCTTGGACCTGCCCCGGGCAGCCGTGTATCAGGTATTTCAAAACAGCTGATAGCAAATACGCTGATCAGCTGTTTTACCATTTATTTTGTTCAATAAATACATAATACGTAAAAGTCAATATTATTATTTTTTTAATTGGCACAGGTCAACTTGTGTGCGAATAAAGTGCGTCGTGATTTTGTCGATAATAAACAACTGCACGACGTATTTTATCGATATAGGTATATTTTATTATTACATAAGGCGTTATTGTATACGTTAGTGAAATATTTGTGTGCCCCGGCCCATTGTTATGGCGGTTCTTTGTGTTCTATAATAATGTATGGGGGTGAACTGGCCACATAGAAAATGTACTTGTAATTTATTCCTGTTATTGTCGATTTGTGATACTTTTATATTTATTTTAAGAATAATTTGTGAGATATATACTTAACTATGTATGATTTAGTGTGTATGACGATGTAGCAAGTAAATAGCTTGTATATACACTTGTAACATTTCACTTAAATAAAGAAATGTTTCAGAGATATAATTCTTTCTTTATTCTGTACTTCCCACAACATTCCCTATCCCACAAAATTAAACAACAAGGTCCTAAAAATATAGACAAAATAATTACTAGTTTTCACTCTGAAATGTCATTACTCATATATTTATTTCATGTATTCATTTGTTTATAAAAAAATTTTATATATTTTAAGTTAATTATTAAGAAATGAAGCTATTACACAATTATTTAAATTATCTTACAATTTACACAAACAATTATTTTAATATTTACTAAACTAGCACATTGGACCTATTAGAAATATATTTTAAACATAAATATACCTCCATTTTATTTTATGAATAAAATTGAAATTAGAATATTAGTAGTTCTTTATTGAAACTGCAAAAAAAAACGATTCACTTATATTGCATAATATTAAATTACATTTGTTTTCTGTTACAGCAATATTTATTATGTAATTAGTTTGTTTACAGGAGCAACATGTGATCACAGTATGAGGTAGAAACATAACAATAATAAATAACTTTTGGTTATTGTTATTGAATATTGCATATTGCAACACAAATTACACGATTATTAGTATTACCAACATGACAACAAATCTGAAAATATGAAAAAAATCCTATAAAAAAATATTTATATTATCTGTGATTAAAAAAAAAGTTAGAACAATATACTAATATTATAAATATATCATGTGTTTCTGTCTGTTTGTTACCTAATCACAACTATCCTGCTCAACAGATTTTTATAAAATTTAATGTAAGGATAGAATGATAAAAGTAGAATAGACATAGTCTGTCTTTTATGTTATAAGCAGTCAAAGTCGCGGGTGAAAGTTTTTTTTTATATTTCTGTATAAAAAGTAACTAAAATAATGATTATTAGAATTTGTTGACAAGAAATTATTTGGAATATTTAATAGCAATATTGAACAAGCTGTAGAATAAATATTCAATAGTAGATTCTTTCTCAATGGTTGCACCTAACCATTCAGAAATATTGAAATTTACTTTTTTTAATTGGTACATAATCCATAGATAACATGTTGTGATACAAACAGTTAAATAGGTATTACTGAAATAAATATTTACTATAATTTAATTAGGTATTAAGCATTAAAATATCAGACTTTCTGGTATTAATAGTACAAATTAATTATAATAAAAATCTGTATATTTAATATTAAAATATATTAAATATACAGTTTTCAGAGTGACATTATATATTTTCAATATTTTTGTTATAAAAAATAATATACATGGTAAGATGTAAAGGGTATATATGTATACTAATTTGAAAGCCACTAATCATAAAAACTGAACAACTTTCCCTAAGTAACAAAGTGGTACAACAAAAAACTGCACCATCACACGATCAGTTTAGTATCATGATTCAGAATTGAATATGTAATGAACATAAGGTTAAGTTGTTCAGTTTAATGAGTCCTGTTCTGAGTTTTTATTTTATACCCTTTATGACTAATCTATCTTATGTATTGTGAATTACACAAATACTGACCACAAATTACTGACCAATTGAATAATTGCAATACAGTTATGATTAAATATTATGGTAATTTGTATACACACATTTCAACTTAAAAATGTAAAGTTGCAACTAAAGTATTTAAAAGAACAACAGTTTCTTGCTCATTCTTCTTGATGAGACAGCTTTCTGAATTAAAAAAAAATAAATGAAGACTTCAAAAGTACTTGAATGTAAGTTTATTTGAATAAATAATTTTCTATTCTATTATTATTAAATTTCAGTGTAGCAATGGGCACCTGATGTGTGCGCCTTGCTTTACACACTTGCTCGCTGACGCGCGGCTTCGTGACGAGGCAGCCACCTGCCCCAACTGTCGCGTTGAGATATCCAAGACATCTGCCTCAAGGAATTTGGCAGTTGAGAAAACTGTATCGGAGCTGCCCTCCGAGTGCAAATATTGCACTAGAGTGTTCCCCAGGCATTCCCTGCAGCACCACGAGGACAACACGTGTGACGAGAGGTAATTATTGCTAACTTTACATTTTACTAGTTGTTTCCGCGGAGTTACCACCGTAAAATTTATAGCCTATATCTTCTTCTGATGTATAAGCTATATTATTGTAAAGTTTCATTAATATCTATTCAGTAGTTTTTGCGTGAAAGAGTCACAAACATCTATCCATCCACACTCACGAACTTTCACGTTTATAATATTAATTAGATGTGATTACTTCGGTGATTACTATAGTGAAGTAATCACCGATGGAGTAATCACGAACATTGTTAACTGTTGATATTCTGGTGAATGCAAATATTGAGATGCTCACATTTCGCGGTGTTACTTGAATGATCGTGTCGAGGTCAGTTTATCTTTACATAGTATAAAATGAATGAATGAAATAGTCGCTTGCGCTGTCTGTTCGCAACTACGTAACGAATTTTAATGCAGTTTTTAGCAATAGTTAGAGTGATTCAAGAGGAAGTTTTATATATAGTATTCAAATTAAATTAAAATTCAAAATATCTTTTTACATGTAGGTCTCATGTAGGTCATTATAGTATGTATAATAAATAATCTGTACTTAGAAATAAATTTGGTTTGATATTGGTGTTTTCATCATCGGAGATTCAGTCATTTTTATTAATGTTAATGAATTGGTGAAATGTCTCTGCTCTAACGACATATGCTGGCGGGGTACGTGTGAGGATGTGGTGAGATAGCCCATTGTGGTGAATTCAGCTTCAATTAACCACGACGATTTTGAAGTGACCATGTTCGTTGACCTGTTAGGACAGATTTTTAGTAATGGGGCTAACTTGTTCCGATTTCTACCAATCCCTCTTAAGGATTGGTATAAATGGTTAGTTAAGGTTAGTCAGTTAGATAAATAAATTAATACCCAATCTATTTAGAATACCGGCCGAATTGAAGCCGTGACCTTAGAAGTCTAGACGATGGCGCGATGGCCACAATGCTCAGAGGAACCAGTTGTTTTTTTATAATCTCGATTTTTATGTTGGTACTACCTGATCTACGTTGTTTATAAATTAATATTCGCGTTAAAAAATTAAGGGTTGATGCTAGAAGGGTAAAAATTTAGGGTTGTATGTATTTTTTAATGTCACATTATAATAAAATAAACATTTCCTCCAAAAAAAAAATGTTAGGAGAGGACAAGCCTTATCGTACATTATAGGTATGAAAAATAGATAGTAGCCGATTCTCAGACCTACTGAATGTGCATATGACATTTCATTAAAATCGGTCAAGCCTCAGAGGAGTATGCTAACTAACACTGTGACACGAGAATTTTATATACAGCTATTATTATTTTAATGCGACGTTTTAAAATAATAATTTGACATGGTCATCATTTATACGTATAATTAGCAAATCACGGGATCTTCACGTTTTATATTTATTGAGTTCCCGATATTTCGGTAATGTTTCAAACGCCATGATCACGGGTAAACTAAAGAGCAGCGGGTAGTAAACAAAAAGTTTTTTTTATACTTAAAAACTTATATAATAAAACGTGGTAAAATCCCGTGATTTACTAATTATAGGTATTATTAGTGCCTATTTTTAGTCCATTAAATCCTGAATCTTCGCTGTATAGTACCCAGATTTTGTATCCATCCTATCCGCGCCGCGCAATCATTTCCTTTGTAACTTCATACATACAATAGGTACACTCAATGAAGATCACCGTCTACTGTATAGCCTTGCCCTAGTTAAATCGGTTGCAGCAAATGTATAATAATATCTTGCAATGTTTATCATATTCACTGCTGGCGACAATCATAGCCAGGTGTACGTTTTAGCTCGTAATTGAATATTGAAATAAATTGACGAAGTGTAAGTGTCAACAGACAGAATTTACTAGTTTTATATAATCTATACATATAAATAAAATTGGAGTGTCTGTTTGTAATATTGAAATAACCGTTTTTTACTATATGCATATGAATATAAATATGGTAAATACACCAAATTGACATTTTTTGCAATTTTTGCCTGTCTGTCTGTCGGTTATGAATACGGTACATACACCAAAATAACATTTTTAATTTGTCTATCTGTCTGGTTAATCTCTGAAATGGCTGGACCGATTTTGATGGGACTTTTTTTGGCAGGTAGCTGATGTAATAATAATAAAGTTAAATTCCACGCGGACGAATAGGTATAATATAATTAATATTAATGCATCGCTTCTATTGGTCATAGCGTAATGTTATACATCTTTAAGCCTTCCTCGACAAATGAACTATCCAACACAAAAATAATTTTTCGATTCGAACCAATAGTTTCTGAGATTAGCGCGTTCAAACTAACAAACTCTTCCGCTTTATAATATTGGCATAGATTTCATTGTTCATTGACGAAGTCTCGAAGACTTCGTCAATAAACAATCAAAATGTACAAATCTAGAATTGAGGCCAAGTATTGATCTAATATTATAATGCCTGCCTACGTCTACAAGTATCTATAGCTACAATCTGCACTGCAGTGATGTCGCAGTGTCACTGATCTATAACGACCACAAATAACGATGTCATACTGGTAACGATCATTGCAATTTCTGTCAGGGTTAGGGACGTTGTACTTGTACACAATCTTTATGATATACTAGCTGTCCCGATTGTCTTGCCACATAAATTAAAATCGTTGTTAAAAATAGTTGGTGACAGAAATTTAGGATTGTATGTATTTTTTATGTCACATTATAAAATAAAAATTTGTCTTAAAATAAATGTTAGAAGTGGTCAACGCTTAACACTTAGAGGTATGAAAATCATATTAGGGGTGGACAACCCGAAAGTGAAAAAAATATCCAAAACATAAAAAAAAGTTAAGGGTGGACACTTAGGGGTATGAAAAATAGATAGTAGCCGATTCTCAGACCTACTGATATTCAGTATCATATAAAATTTCATAAAAATCGATCAAGCCGTTTCTGAGGAATATGGTATTAACATTGTGACACGAGAAATTTATATATAAGATTAATGATTTCAGTATCACTTATTCGATAATTCATAAATTAAATTTATATTGCGTCGTATGAATTTTCCAGGATTATTATTAATATTATAATTATATCCAGTTTAAATCAAATCAAAATATCTTCATTAATGTAGGTCTATTACAAACATTTATATGTTAAAAACAACCGTCAGTTTTGATTCGAGCTAAGAACCAACATGAAACTCAGGTCGTATTCTTACAAATGTGCTTGTACATGTATACAAAAATCATCATTCATCATCATCATTGCCTTGCCTTTATCCCATTATTTGGGGTCGGCGCAGTATGTCATTCTCTTCCACTGCTCTCTATCGGTCGTCATATCTGAACATACTCTTCTTTTATTCATATCATCTTTCAGACAATCCATCCATCTTTTCTTAGGGCGTCCCCTCCCTTTACATCCATCCACATTCATATTATACACTTTCCATAAGACATGGTCCTCATTCCTCCGCATAACATGCCCATACCAGCTCAATCTGTTACCTCGCAACTTTTCTATAACCGGCGCAACTTTCAAACTTCCTCAAAATTACGTAGTTTCTTAGTCAAAGTTTAGTATTATGAGTACTGTACCTGGCTCTTGGCTTGTTGTACCCCTTACAACAGGGATGCCAACTGAACGCGGATACTCTATTAATACGAGATTTTTGGCCTTCGGTAGAAAACCAATTTTGCCCTCTCATAAAAATTTGTATGAAATTTGGACCTACAAAGGTCGATCAAAATACTCTCAGCTAGTGTACGAGATTATATTGTTTTTTATTTCTCATGTACGAGGCCTAGTCTACCTTTAAACTGACACAGTATAGTTCATTTTTTTAATCGTTCTTGTAGACTTTGAGGTTATCCATTACAGATATAAACAAAAAAAACTCTGCTGTTTAACAATATTAGCTAATAATTTGAACCTAATTGTTCTTCTCCAGGTTATACAAGTTTGCGCAAATCGTTGTGAATTTTAGTACTTTTTCATTAACCTTTACAAAGATATAAACAAAAAAACCTCTGTTGTTTAACAGTATTAGTATATATAATAATTTGAACCCGAGCTGTTCTTCCCCAGAGAATACAAGTTCGCGCAAATCGTAGGGAATTTTAATCCTTTTAATTAACAATTACAAAGATATGAACAAAAACTTTGCTGTTTAACAATATTAGTATAGCTAATAATTTGAACCGAGCTGTTCTTCTTCAGGGAATACAAGTTCGCGCAAATCGTAGTGATATTTAGTACTTTTTGATAAACCATTACAAAGATATGAAGAAAAAATCTTTGCTTTTTAACCATATTAGTATAGCTAATAATTTGAACCGAGCTGTTCTTCTTCAGGGAATACAAGTTTGCGCAAATCGTAGGGAATTCTAATACTTTTTAATTAACAATTACAAAGATATGAACAAAAACTTTGCTGTTTAACAATATTAGTATAGCTAATAATTTGAACAGAGCTGTTCTTCCCCAGGGAATACAAGTTTGCGCAAATCGTAGTGAATTCGTCTGCGAAGCGCCCATATGTGGATAGTTTGGTTCGCATTGTGTCGAGCGTGTATGCGCTGCTGGTGCGCGCGTTGCGTATGCTCTACCTCGTGTCTGAGGAGTCGCAAGTTCCTCGGCCGCCGGCCAAGCGCCGTAGGCACCACAGGTGTGTGCCAACCTCTCGCCACATATGTGCTAGATTTTTGATGTATCTATATCTTTAGTTACAATGTCTCTGACAAGATCCAGACATCATTATAATAATAATTTATAGTCATACAACGTAGTCCATTTTGTTAATAACAATTACTTAACCTGTGTTAGGAAATAACAATTGTGGGACAAAGTATGACCTGTCTTAGAATGGGACAGTCTATTGTACAATTGCCTTCAGGACACTGTTGGAATTTGCCGGACTCTGCCTAATATGGATGTTATTCGTTTCTGGTGTATGGTATAGAAGTCTTTGGTGCGCACTTACGCAAACAGTACCCTAACAGTGCTCTCCCAATAGTGCCCTAAAGGCATTGTTATGTTGAACACGAAGAGCATTTTTGTATAAAACTGACCCACAAGCTGCCGGTGTAGAAAACTTAGCAGTGCTTTAAAAAGATTTATTAACTTTTGACGTTGTGATGAGCGAAACATATAACATGCCTACATTTCGCTCGCAATCTTCGCATCCACTCAATATATTTTAATGTGGCAAAGGGCGTGCCTTCAGCCGTCTCTCGTATTAATTTGGTATTTCCGTTAGCGGAGACTCCAAGATGTCAATTGGCAGTTCTCTTTGTGTTGGCGAAATTCGACCTTACGATCTTTACATCGTAGTCACATTTGGGTAGAAAACTGCTAGTCTCCTAATTATTATCAAAAACAATATATTTACACTTATCGGCATTTGCCTGCTTACTCATGCTTTCACGAAATGTACAAAATATTTAAACGTATATATACTTGACAACATATATATGCTTAAGTTACGTTTGATTTAGACATATACATAAATAAGATAATCATGATTAAAATAAACTTTATGTAAATAGGAATAGAAATCGTTTAAATGTTTTGCTGTATCATTATAACAGTCATCTTTGTTTCTAACACCGTCTAATGTTATGTAGTTGGTGGCGTAGCTACTTGATTACAAAAATACAAAGTAATTTTTAAATTCAATCAGGGAGAATGTTGTCTCCACTCATGTGCTATTGCATCCTTGTTCAAAGATTTGTCAAATAACCTGATAATACATTAAATAAATTATGTTATTTTAAATTGAATACCGATTTAAATTTAACTAATATTAATTTATTATGCTCTTTACACCTATTTAAGATCACCTAAATAAGAAACCTTACAGTGCAGGATCACTGTAAGGTTTCTTATTAAAAAACTGACTAGCCAAGTAGGCTTACATTCATTCATCCATAATTTAGTAGCCGCGCTCTTGTTGGTGGAGCTCTTGCCATGTTCCACGATTTTCCATAAATCTCTGCTGATATGAGTCGACTCCAAATGTAGCTGTGTCTTGGTTTTCCCTTCTCCTCTATCCTTCTATTTTTCCTTCGGTAATATTTTTCATAAGTTCGTCGTGTCGTATCAAGTGCCCCAATATTTGTCCTCACGTATTCACAATAATATCTATGACCTGCCTCTTTTCTTTAACCATTTGTAGTGCTTCTTCATTTCTTATTTTATTGTTCCAAAGAATTTTTTCTATTCTTCTTGCACTTGCTTATACCACATTTCACAGGCCAAAGCTGTACTCCAGATGTAGGCCTACATGTTATTATTAAATATATTATTTTATTAAACAATCTGCCACAGTCTTACGAAGCTATAGGTGTCACATATAAAAATCCGCAACACGAATTTTAATAGTATTCCCTAGTTACGCCACTGAACGTAGCTTGATTCACCAGATGCGATGCGAACCGAATTCATCCACGTATTGTATGCATGATGGCCTGAAACTTACTGAACCTGTTACCTAAAGCTGTTTGACACAAATTATTAGCTAACCCTGTTACTGTAATAAGCTTTCTATTTTTGAATTTACTGATACATTGACAAATATATGTTAAGTTTGTTTATTGAAAGTATATTTCACGCAGGGGGAAATGTTTTCTCTAATGATAGAATTGGAATTCCGCATCGTAAATAATTACGAATTAACTACGATAATGGTGATGATGAAAGCGATGCTTTTTAGGATAAACTGACTGTTTTTTATGGATGATGTTGGAATTGTGCTCCTGCGCTAATGGTATTCGTTCGGCCAGCACTAATGGGAGATGACAGTATAAGGAACGGGTCAGTTCAGATCGTGACTTTAATTTGTGGCCAATACGCTATGATAGGTAACATAGTGGATTGATCACGACTGTTTTCAGAGGAGCAAGCTACATAGTGGATTAACCACGAATCAATCAGGACTAGATACTAGAGCGGTCGGGGTATTCTCTCTATATTATTAATGGGGAATAATCAGCTGGCACGCCATTGTTAACAATGTTCTATGGAAATAATTGCGGACAATTCGTAGTGAATTCCCCACAACAATGGTCTGAGTGATCCTCCACTGGTGGGTCCCGGGTTGGATGAATGTGTGATTATACTCTTCTTCCTGTTTGGGCTGCGTAATCCTTGACTGGTGTGATCGCTGGTTCCCTGGGCGCACCAGTCGAGGATCACGCTAGATGAGCGCAAGAGTATAAAAGGCGTGCGGAGTGCACCCTTCTCCCTATATTTCGGCTGCGTGATCTTCGACTGTGTGCCTGTTAGACACCCGGGCGGGGTGAGCGCGAAGTATAGTGGGGGTGCGGGTGCAGGCTGACGGGGTGCCGGTACGCGTGCATCGGGTGCGGGTGGCGCGGGCCGGCGCACGAGGCGGCTGCGCACGAGGAGCGGTGTGCTCTGCCGCGGGGCGCGGCTGCTGACGTGGTGGCCGTGCTCGCCGACCACGAGCGCCGCGCCGCAGACGCGCTCGCCGTACACCGCCAGCTACTCGACCTGCTCTCCTGCGAGCAGATCACTATCAACGGTCAGTACATCTCTAACTGCCCATCCTTTGTAGCTGTATTCAGGTGAGGAAGATTCAATATAGCAGGATACTCGGGCATCACACCTTAGACCTCAAGAATGGCATCACATGATGCGTGGTATCCACATGGAGACGATTTTTTTAATTTAGGATAATAATGGTATTGTGCACTCATTTGCGATAACGATATACGATGACGGGGCACTAGTGAAGGATGACCATGAAGTTAGATCAGTTAGCCCACGGGGCACCAGTGAAGAATGATAGCATGAGCATGAAGTTAGATCAGTTAGCCCAACGTGAATATATTAATAGGAATTACCAACAATAGTTTCTAGAGGAGGTCGTATTTTAAGAGCCAATTTACACAACCTGCAGACCTGCAACTGAAGCCGTACCGCACTGAGGAGTTTGTGCACAAGCTGTACTACGAGACTTCGCGGTTCAACGCATTCAACCTGCAATGGGTGGTGAAGGCATTCGTGAACAAGAACCAGCGCGATCCCACGCAGAGCTCGCAGCGGGAGATCACTTACCAGGTACTCACATTCACGTGCATTCAATCGCTCTCTTGGAACGAGGTCAACCAGTTATTTTTTATTATTTGCGATGCGAGGTCTGCGTTCAATTAATTAAATTTAAAAGAATATGTTTTAGGATAATAATGGTGACCTTCATAATTTTTTTTGATTTTGAAAAATTGATTTTGAAGAGTCAATTTTCATTGTTTATATCTATACATATAAATAAAGTTGGAGTGTCTGTTTGTAATATTGAAATAACCGTTTTTTACTACATGCATATGAATATAAATACGGTACATACACCAAAATAGCAGTTTTTACAATTTTTGTCTGTCTGTCTGTCTCTTTCTTCCGGCTAATCTCTGAAATGGTTGGATCGACTTTGACGGGAATTTTTTTGGCAAGTAGCTGATGTAATAAGGAGTACCTTTGGCTACTTTTATTTTAGAAAAATACAGTTAAATTCCACGCGGACTAAGTCCCGGGGACAGCTAGTTTTTCATAAATATATCGGAATAGAACAAAGAAAACAGAAACGTAGAGTAGTTTCCCTCAGACTAGAGCTAGCGTCCGTCAGGCAGGAGTTGGTTTTCAGTCGCTCCATAAGTCCTTCCGCGTGCGTACTCGTTCCTTATCGTTTGGCAAAGCTGTAAAGACGAACTGCAAGTAGCATTAGAATAATTCGATAATTTTATTAATATAATTACAGATTTTAGCACAAATACTTTGTCATAGGCCGAGTCACCTTATTTGGTTCACATATCCCGTCGAGCCAAATTTTCCACAGTGGCGGTTCTGACTGGTACTGGTCTTCTGCGTTCACTTAAGATGGTGGAGGTTGGGCCTGGGGCGGACCATTTTATCTCGGCTCAACTCGGGGGCAGTAACCCTCGAGTAGCTGGGTCTTCTACACCCCCATAAGGGGATTGGGCTCTCGGGGCCCCTTTTGCACCGGCATTTTGGGGCCGTTCAAGTATTACGAAAGCACTGTTCGTCTTTATTTAGCTTATTTTGGATGGATGGGGAGTCTAGATGATGATTACGTCATCAATAGTTATTTACTTTTTTAAACGAATGAAAACCCTCACATTGTCTTTGTTAAAAAAATATATTAATTGAAAAATGTTTACCTAAGCAGAGGGGGTACAAGTTTTGCTCACTTTTGTTGACAAGGGGGATGGGGGGGTCAATAATTCTAATAAATCTGCTTATGTAAAAGTACCTCGATACGACCCTCGGGTAGCTAGGCGAGGTGGTAGTGACGGAGCGTGTGTATGTGCCGGCGATCACCCGCAGGTGATCCTGAAGAGCAAGCCGTCTTGCGCGGTGGGCGTGCAGTGGGTGTGGCTGCGCGGGCCGTACGGGGAGGCGCGGCTGGTGCCGCGGCCCGTGGCGCACGCCTTCAGCGAGGCCGACCCCGACGCCCCCGCGCAGCCCCTCCCGCTCGCAGACCCCGGGGACACCAACCGCCTGCTCTCCAACAAGGCCATACACTTCAGGTCACGCCAATTTATTTTTGTAACACAGGGCGCGAACCAGCCTGCGGCTCACCTGATGGTAAGTGATTACCACAACTCATGAGCACCCGCAACACCAGGAGAATTGCGAGTACGTTGTCGGCCTTTTAAAAAGGAATAAGCTCTTTTCTTGAAGGTTTCAATATCGTATCGGTTCGGAAATACCATTGCTGGAAGGTGATTCCACAATGTGGTTGTGCGTGGCAAAAAGTACGTTTTTTTATGGATGATAATGGAATGGTGCACCCGCCTGCGCTAACGGTTTACGCTGGCGGAACACCAGTGGAGGATGATAAGATGAACATGCAGTCAGGTCAATTAGCCCATCGTGACAAATTCACCAGAAAGTTTTCACGATGGTTTCCAGGGGGAACCGCATGAATGTCAACCTGATATGGTACATTGCTAGTAATGGGGTTAAAAGTCTACATTACTAACAATCCCCTTCGTTTCCCCGTTTGGTAATGGAGTACGGACCAGACTAGGGGGGTCCTAGGTAATATAGCACCCCTGGGCACATACCCAGTGTACCCAGTGGGGACTTATCCCCACTGGGCATTGAGTACCAGACCCCTTAGAGTCTGGTACTCAATTTAAATAACACGACGCTATGAAAGTACCAAACTCAGTAAAGCAAATATTGAAATGTTATTTTTGTTCTCTTGCAGGCTCACCATGTTTCTGATATCAAAGTGATCTCCCAAGATGACGCCGGCTTCCGGACCCTCACAAGCCAGCCGACTACATCCGCTGTAACTGTAACCAAAGAATGCTATATTACCTTCGTTTTAATGCACTCATTTGCACCACGCTCGCAACGATCTCCAACGAAATTTATATGCTAAAGTACAGCTTTATGACTGTAGATGCTTTTACCTCTTCATGCAAAAGGATGAAAATCTTATATATATAAAATTCTCGTGTCACAGTTTTCGTTCCCATACTCCATCGAAACGGCTTGACCGATTCTCATGACATTTTGTGAGCGTATTGAGTAGATCTGAGAATCGGCCAACATCTATTTTTCATCCCCCTAAATGTTAGGGGTAGTCCACTCCTATTTTTATTTTATTTTAAGGCAAAACAACGTTTGCTGGGACAGCTAGTCTTATATATAAAATTCTCGTGGCACAGTTTTCGTTCCCATACTCCTCCGAAACGGCTTGACCGATTCTCATGAAATTTTGTGAGCGTATTGAGTAGGTCTGAGAATCGGCCAACATCTATTTTTCATCCCCCTAAATGTTAGGGGTAGTCCACCCTTAAATTTTTTTTTTTTTAAAGCAAATCAATGTTTGCCGGGACAGCTAGTTATAAATAAATTTGCGGAGAGAGACGATTTAAACACAAGGAGCAGCTTTGTGTTTCACTCGTCGTTAATCCAAATTCAAATTCAAATTCGATTTTGATGAAATTTTATTATCTTTATTTTGTTTTATACTATGTAAATTCAAAATTCAAAATATTATTCATATAGGTCTATTACAGACTCTTATGATATGTCAAATCTACCGTCAGTTCGGAATGATTTCGAACCTCCTCTCTTCGCCTCTATCTCTATTACTATTGGTGGCGGCATAATCGTGACGTCACCAACATCACGTGACTCGCTATGGTTTTAAATATGAAATGTAAGTAACAAATTAGTCAACGAGTGTTCTTTATGTATTGAAGCTGAACTGTACATTGTGTTGGTATGTCATAATTTGCACATTGCCTCAATGTTGTACAGTAATCGTGAATAGCTTATTTACACTAAGTAGAGTATATATACTGAAGTCATTGAGGTATTACGTACGAAATGTTCTTATCTTCTCTGAACATTGAATTGTAGCGTATAAGCCGCACTCAATTTGATCACTCGTGTAATATCCTAATTACATGCTTAAAAGATTAATAATATGAACAATAAAGGATGCAATTAAATAAATGTATAGAGTAATAAAAATGTTTTTTTTTTTAATTTGTTTATTCATTCTTAACATGTGTCGAATTTAACAAATAATTGAATTATGAGTATTTGAATCTAATTCTAAACAATGTCCAAAAATTTATACAAATAATAATAATTTCCAAATTAAGCTATAGTATTTGTCATTAATTAAAAAAAACTCATCATTGGACTAAAAGGATTTCTTCAATAAAAATTTATGAAGCTTTGTTTTGAAGTTGCTTTTACAAAGTATATCTAATTTCTATTGGGATAAGACCGCAATTCAATAATATGTTTTAATTTCTAACTAGTTTCTTTAAACAAACTAATAGATATGTTATGGTGTTTTATTTATTTATTCTTTTGCATGCAAAATTGTATATTAAACCAATACAGTTATTAGAGATAGTATAGCGTTGTGTATCATCATCGTGTTCTATCCTATGCCGCAAGAAGTCGCAATTAAATCAATTAGTACGCTATAGTACAATCATCTTGTTTCTAACATATGACACAAAAGGTTGGAACAGCGTCTTATCTAGTACGTTGGTTATAATACCTCAATGTATATCCTATGAGTTACATTCATAATCATGTTCCATCACTTTTGTATGTACATTGTATAACTTGACAAGTTGCAAGGATCATTGCGAGCGTGGTCTCACGTGTACCAACGAAACATTATAATTATATGACGTCTTGGTAATATTCTGAGCCTGTACCATTACAGGATAATCATTTATAAGTCTTCTTTAATAAGATACCGATTTTTTAATTTATTTACTTTTCATGTTGGATGATTATGGAATGGTGCACCTGCCTGCGCTAACGGTTTACGCTGGCGGGGCACCAAAGGAGGATGATAAGGGCATGAGGTCAGGTCAGTTTGCCCATCGTGAAATAACCAAGAATTAACCACGATGGTTTCTAGGGGAACGCGTGGAGGTGGTCCTAATATGGTACATTGCTAGCAAAAGGGACACTAAACTCCATTGCTAACAATCACCATGTATTCACGGTGCCGGATCCATCGTGTGGCAGAGAGGGAAACTCCGAGCAGTTCCCGGGACTTGTAACCCGGGTGTAGGTTTAAGGGGCCCCTTGACGACATACGTAGCTCACCGTCACCGCTCATGTTACTCTCCCTGCCTAGGCATCTGGTAGGAGCCTGCTATTGTAATTTTCGATTTTATTATAACAATACTATCTTATGGAAAATAATTTGAAATTTAATAAAACCCACTCTTATTAAAGAAGTCTTAAAGTAAGTATTTGTTCAAATTAATTGTGAGATTTATAATAAGTGGTGGCTCTAATATTAGAAATGTCAAGTTGGCGACTGGATTACGCATTTAGTTAGTAAACTGGCGTTTTCTCAACTATCTACAAATGTAATAATTATATTGTACCGTAAAAAATATTGATTTGTCTATGAACGCTCTGCTAAAAGTACTAATGCCATATAAGGTCATAATATGTTTGTTTTTCGGACTACTCTAATGCTGATAGCCGCAGCTGGCCTTTACAGCTTCACCGGACGATAAGGGGTGAAAACAGATGCACTCCAAACGGACGGACTTATGGAGTGGCTAAAGGTCAACTCCGTCTGAACGCACTAGCAGTGAGGTTCAGATCTCAGATAATATGTTAAACGTGTCTATAGCGTAAGTCTTGTCTATGGTCGCAGATTGACACGAAGGTCCCTAACATTGTCAAAAATTACTGTGGTGTTTATGGGACACAGTCACCTAGATACATCAATTATTATTTTGATGTATCTCGGTGACTGTGTCCCATAGTGTTAATTGCAACTGGAAGATTAGTAAGGTTTATAAGATGAAATAAAGTTTATTTTGTATCATAAGGTTCATATATATATGGGTCATTCACTTCCCCCCCCCCCCCCCCCTCGGTTTTTTGATAGTGGAATGGTGCACCCTTCTCCGCTGACGGTGTACCCTGGCGGGGCACCGGAAATGGAAATGATAAAATGAGGTCAGGTCAGTCAGCACATCGTGACACATTCACATTCGTTTATCAGGATGGTTTCCAGGGGGAACCGCGTGAGGTCAACCTGACATGGTACGTTGCTAGCAATGAAATCAGTCCACATTACTAACAATCCCTTTCCCGCAAGTTAACCTGTATGAAACAGCAAGTGGATTCTATTGACGAATCTATTATATATTTAATTCTTCATATAGTTCAGTCGCCGGCGAATGATTACAATTCCAAACACAAGTGTTCGAGATTATTATTGAGTACAAATTTATATTGTTTTGAAGACATCGATTGTAAATATTGTATGCGATGTCTGTATAGAAATTTGGCTGTATGTGGTAATCAATTCGCATTCCGTTGCTCTCTGCAGGTAGTTTTTAAAAAAGTAACATTCTGTAAGTATCTGTACATCGTCACTGCTCTGTGAAAATCGAGTAATAAACCTGATTGACTGTGAAAAACTTTTTATATTAAGTTTATTTGAATGAAGATTATTTCTATTCATATTTGATTACGCACGGAAGTAGGGTTAAAAAAATGTATAAAAACTGAAGTGTGTAAATGGACTAAATGTACTATATAAATATATATTCGGATTTTCTGAAGAGGTTGAGTTTTCTACAAAATATTGTGTAGTGAATTTTTTTATAATGTATTTTTTCTAATGTATGTTAATTCAATTATTTATGACAAATTTGTTTTAACGTGGAGCTATGAAGTTTTTTTATTAAAATATTTTAATATATTAGAATAGAAAATAATTTATTCAAATAAACTTAATTTAAGCAATAGTCATAACAAATTTTTATAATCTACCGCTCATTCGGAATGTCTCTGTATTGTTTTCAGGTTTTCACAGAATGGTAATGATTTTAATTTCGACTCCACTCTTTCCGTTGATTGATAGTTTAAGTTTTTTTTTTAATTAAATTTGAAAATATCGCAAAATGGCGTAGATTATAACGAGTTTTAAACGACCTCCTTGGCGCTGTGGTAAATGCATAAATGGCGGCTGTTTGTTCTCCGTTATCACAAATTTATACTCTGTGCGCTGTTGCAAGGTGCGAGTGAAAGTTAGTATTTAATCGAATTAGGTGTTATTTTGCGGAAGTCCTGTACACTCATATAAGGTTTATATAATTTTGTTTATCTAAATCTAACAAGATATTCTGTACAACGACCTTCTCAATAGAAAGTCTAACAATGTCAGCACGTTTCGCCTCTTACCATTTAATATTATTTCTTGCAATTATAGATTCGTAGTCACACACTGTTAATTGTAGCGGAATTAAAAAAATAATCTATTGAATAGTGACAACGTTATAATTATTTACAATTGAACATCATATTGCTCTCTTTAAGCAAAAATGTTCTTTGAAACAAAAGTGACAATATCAATATTATACTTTTCTAAAAATAATTGTTAAATTAACTCGCTGCCGGGAAAACTTTGTATGTTCTGATGAACAATTATTAATTCTGATTGTTTTCCCTTTGTCTTTGTGAGCAGTTTAAATAAGTCATAATTTGTAAATCACGGCCACTTTTAGGAGTGAAACGAAACGTTAATCAAACTTTGCTACAGCGCACATTGTATAGTTCATTTAATGTTAGACATAGACACCTATATAAATATACATTGTAAATAAACTGTCTTTAAAAAAAACAATTGAGTTTCTTGCCAGTTCTTCTCAATTGGATCTATATACTGAACTTGGACGGTAGGGAAAAAATTATAATGTAAAAATTTTTACATTATAAATGATTTTTGAATTTGAATTTTAAATTGATGCGAATGAGAATAGAAGTCAGGACTGTCATTACCACCGCGTCACTGGGTTCGTCGATATTTTGTAAATGTATATTTTATAATAATGCGTACGAATGTGTGAATAGAATATTAGATTTATTTTTAATTTTATTAGTTTAATGAATTAATTGATAATTAATTTACCCGAGTGTTTTAAATTAATAAATTAATATTATATTATATTTTTAATGTAAGCCCACCTCGGCGTGAGGTGTGCCATATTTTGAATTAGCAAATTATATTATTTCATATTTGTTAACATTTATTTTTGGAACTCAATAATAAAGAAATTAAGTTATTGTCAATGAATTTGGTATTTCATTTTGAGTGACCACACACTTTATTATTAAACTTAACCTATACCTTATATTGCATCTCTGTGCATTTCCTACCGCATATATCACGGGGAGTGGTCTGAGGAATTGTTCGGATTAATACCGGCTGCTGAGTTTCACCACTGTACCACCCGCCAGAAACTGAAATACCATCCTGATCATCTGGATGAATGGCGGTCCTCCACAGTGCGGTTTTTTAGAAACTTTTTGCCACACACAACCACATTGTGGAATCACCTTCCAGCAATGGTATTTCCGAACCAATACGATATTGAAACCTTCAATACAAGCGTTTATTCCTTTTTAAAAGGCCGACAACGTACTGGCAATTCCCCTGGTGTTGCGGGTGCTCATGGGCGGCGGTAATCACTTACCATCAGGTGAGCCGTATGCTCGTTTGTCCCATGTTATAAAAAAAAATCTTGCTACTACCTACCTGCTTCTGCGCTTTTGCCTTTGGGAGGAGCTCGGCTGGCTACTTTAGAAGTGGCTCTACACGTACAACGGTCCAGATTGCGGAGAATGGAGTCCAATCTACATTTACATTCACAACTAGCTGCACCCGTGACTTCGTCCGCGTGGAATATAACTTTATTTTTCTAAAATAAAAGTAGCCAAGTTACTCCTTATTACATTACCTACCTGCTAAAAAAGTCCCGTTAAAGTCCAGCCATTTCAGACATAAGAATAAGAATAACATTTATTTCATAAAATATAACTTAAGTAACATTGTAACTATGACTCCACACCAGGCTATGCCTGTATCGTGGAAATCAAAGCAGGTTTGACAGTTAACGTTACATTGGTACGGCTATCAGGGTGCATATAAAAATTTAGTGTTTATATAATATTAATACTAGTAATATATGACAAAAAATAAAATAAAATAAAGAATAGAATAATAAAAATTACAGATATGTATTTGTTAGTCGGCGAGTGTGTGTGTGTGTATGTGTGTACGTGTGAGTGTGTATGTGTGTTTGTGTTTGAGTGAGTAAGAATGTTATTTGGAAGTGTTGTAAATTCATATAGAATCGTTAGAATATTTCAGAATTGTCTAAATTTATATTACGGAACAAACAGACAGACAAAAATTACAAAAATTGATATTTTCGGTGTATGTACCGTACTTATATTCATATGCAAGTAGAAAAAACGGTTATTTCAATATTACAAACAGACGCTCCAATTTTATTTGTATGTATGTATAGATTATGAAAGAATTTCAAGGTAATATTATTATTATTCGTGAGTTCTGCCTCCATTAAAATATGCAATCGCCTTGGACAATTCCTGTTGATTTATTCATGATGTGCTAATTGATTTAACTTCATTATAAGTATTAATATTGCCGACCTCGGTGGTCTAGAGGTATAGCACACTCCGATGGTCGCGGGTTCAATTCCTCGCACGGTTTATATTCATGAGTGCTGCTTGTAGGGACTGGTCTGCTCTAATCACTACGACTGATTTCCTCTTATTAGTTGTTTAACCAGTTGGTTGTATATTTAATATTTTCAATATTTTCTGAATTAGTGCTAATTGGTAGTTTGTATTCACACACTTCAACTTAAAATGTAAAGTAACAATAGAATTATTTATAAGAGCAACACGTAAGTGTCTTGTTCGTTCTTCTTGTGATGAGACGCCTTTCCCAATGAGCGGTAGATTAAAAGTGAGGACTTCATAAGTGCTTCAATGTAAGTTTTTTTGAATAAATGATTTTCTATTCTATTCTATGATTGTTTGTATCAGTCTGGGTGTTTTCTATGTATATTGTATATATATTCCTCACGAAAAAAGTATCTAAATATTTATATCAGTACCAGTCCTATCAGTGTCTTCTGACACCAAAGGATGAGACACTTTAAATTATTGAGCTATTTGCGAACAAATTTCTTATTTGACTTTAGGTATATATTAGAGTTCACAGCAATATTATAGAAAAATCTTATATTTTAAAAAGATATTAAAAGTAGTACTAATGAAGTACCCAATGTGAAGATTATTACAAATATTGTAAATAGCGCCATCTAGTATTTATAGACCGAACTACTACACTGACTGGTCTATAAATATGGAGGTCGGTAGTTGAATAATCCTCTTTCGTTGAGTGAGCCCCGGCATTCAGTCGACGAGCGCAGAGCGTGCCGGTTGTTTTGGATACTAAAGTGAATTGTATTAGAAATGTGTTTATCACGGTCTTAGTTGGGCCTGGGGAGAAGCTGCAAGTAGTGAAGGTGAGAGGTGAGAGTTAATGCATTCTAAAAGGGCCTTTTAAACCTACACCCGTGTCACAAGTCACCGGCGCTACTTGGGGTTTCCCTTGCGGTAGCCGGCTTCAAAGCCTAAGTCGTCATCATTCATTAGTGCTTCTGAGTAATGTGGACTCTTGACCTCATTGCTATCAATGTACTGTCAGGTTGACCTCCACGCGGTTCCCCCTGGAAACCATCGTGATAAATTACAGGTGAAATTGTCACGATGGGCTAACTGACCTGACCTCATGCTCATATTATCACCCTCCACTGGTGTCCCGCCAGCGTAAACCGTTAGCGCAGGCGGGTGCCGAATTTCATTATCACATACAAAAACAAAAATTAGTGCTTTTTACTTATATAGTAAGATGTATAACAGAAATAGAAATAGAAATAATCTTTATTCAAATAAACTCATTACTAGCACTTTTGAATAGTCATATTTTGATTCTACCACTCATTCGGAATGCAGATTCATCACAAGAAGAATGAGTAAGAAACTTGTGTGTTGCTCTTTTTAATAGATTTTTTTTATATAAATAATTACAGTATAACAAGTAAGAGGTATGCGATAATCAACATAGAAATCGCTACGCACTCATTATTAGTGTAATTAGATAATATTGTCAGTGCTATGGATTTAAAGTTTTTCTATAAAAACATTATTATCGTTAACGAATTCTTCAATTTTATAGTAATCTTTTTTACAAAGGAACTGTTTTATTTGACATTTAAATCTTTTTTCTGGCAGATTTATAACAGACTCTGGTATTTTATTGTAAAACCTTACGCAATTGCCATAAAACGAATTACTAACTATAGCCAAACGACATTTAGGTTAACGTAAATAAAACTCATTTAATTAATTAACACTCAATTGTATATTAATAAGGTTTATGTCTGTTTGCATGTAGTTTTTTGAGGGAGCTGGTCAATTTGCTGGAAGCTCCGCCGTTCACTGCCGCGGCGGTTGCTCCATGCCATACACTTATCACACCGGACTCTCCAGTAGTCACTAGGATGTCACTCTGACAAATGAGAAGCAATTTATTATTACATATTTGGCGTCGGTCAAGCATTACGTAAGCAGATTTATTACAATTATTTACCCCCCATCACCCTTGTAAGCAAAGCTGTTACCCCTAATGCTTACGTAAACATTTTTCAATTAATGTATTGTTTTTTTACATAGTCAATGTGAGTGTTGCCATTTGTGTAAAAAAGTAAATTACTACCAATGACGTAATCATCATCTAGACCACCCTACCCCCAATGTCATCCAAAATAAGCAAAGTAAAGCCACCTCATAGTGCTTATGTCGTTTATTTGACGACCTCAGTGGTCTAGCGGTCTAGCACACAGCTTTACGTCCGATGGTTGCGGGTTCGATTCCTCGCACGGCACAAACATTTGTATTCATGAGTATGATTGTTTGTAACGGTCTGGGTGTTTTCTATGTATAACATGTGTGTATTTACGAAAAAAAAAATCTATATACTTGTATCAGTTATCTGGTACCCATAAGACAAGCTTTAGCTAGCTTAACTTGAGTCTAGATGGCGCTGTGTGAATTGTCCTGAGATTATTATTATTATTATTATTTTACATATTTGTATTTATTTCTTTGATGAGCTAGCAACTATTTTAATAGACTATCTAAAAGTAAGACATCAACGTTTATTTATTCCCCTGCACCCCGTCTCCCAATATGTTTAGCACTGGTGAATACAGTTGGAAACTTACGTCTTTCTCGTACCAGCAGCACCGCACGATCTGCTTGTTCTCCTCGAAGTTGGTGTTCGGCTGCAGCTTCTTCTCCGTTATTCCCACCGATCGTAATACATTACTGAAATAATTATAAATAAAGTTTTATAAACATCAAGAATTCTGGGTAAGTCAGTTACAGATAATCTGTAATATTGGTGTTATCTGTAGTATAGTAATTGATATATTTATTAATCGACTTCCTAAAAAGTGGAGGTTCAAAATGTTATTGTTTCTATCACTCATTCGAAAAGCTGTCTTAAAACAAGAAGAACGAGGGAGACACTTGAGTGTTGCTGTTATAAATAATCATTATAACTTTACATTTCCAATTCGAAACCTGCTAATACAAATCACCAACTAGCAGTAATTTATTTAGTAATTTATTATTAAATACACAATAGGATTAAACCAGTCGTAGTGTATTCAATTTTATGATACCTAAGGGCACTTTATTTCTTTTTTTTGTACATTTTTTCCGTACCTCAATTATGCTATGTGCTTGTACATAAGTAGTGAATATATCTATCTAGATATCTAACTCTATCTGTCTGTAAGAATGTTATTGTGGAAAAGAGTACAAAGCTCAACCAATAGGTAGGCCCCTCCTCCCCTGGCACGTGCCCAGGGCCCCGCGTCGGATTGGGGCCCCTAATCTATCTCGGGCACCCTTGTCTAGTCTAGTCCCTACTCCATTACCAAACGATAACCGATAATGAGTCTACTGAAAATCAGTCCTAACAAATGCTTACAGACTATGGTCAATTTGTTCGTTTTTCTTAATATTTTATAAATGTACATGAACTTGAACCACTCATCACATAATTACTTTTTAAAATTATTTTTGCCTTAATCTGAAGGTAGGGCATCCCTGTTGTTACGGAAGGATGGACTGTATTAAGGCTGGTTAAAAATGAGACAAACATTTGTATTGAGGTAAAATGTTTGTAATCAGCTCGCTAGCAAAAATATAAAGACAATATGGCATAAGAAAACAAACGGTATATAAAAACAGAACGTCAAAATATAAAATTCAAATATATATAAAAAACATAAAAACTATCAAAAAGGTTGCCATCGGCAACACCTGTATAGATCTCTAAAGACATGTTCAAAAATGACTGTCTATTCTAACTAAATACAGCTTTATTACAATAGTCATAAGGACCCAAGGCCTCTAATAGTTCAGCTATAGAGGGCCCTGCCAATAGGATATGTGTGTGGACTTACCCGTTGCCTGCACAGGAGCCCGCCAACAGAACTGGCGTGTTGTCTGCTGACATAAACGTATCCACCAAGTAGGAGTCGTCTCCTTTACTTCGCTGTGAAATAAAAAAAAATATTATATGGATAATTCTAGTCCATAATACATAATTAGTTTCAGTGTGTAGTTACGTTTGATGTTTATTTATATATGGTAGTATGTCGTAATGCGTAGGAACGAGGATATTATTTTAAGAAAGATGTTACAAATGAATGTGGATGGTTATAAGGACAGAGGAAGGCCGAAAAAGAGATGGATGGACTGTGTGAAAGATGATATGGTAAGAAAGGAAGTAAATAACGAGATGACTGCGAACAGGGATGAATGGAAGCGAAAAACATATTACGCCGACCCCAAATAAATGGGATAAGGAAGAAGCAGATGATGATGATGAGTATGTCGTAAATGTTTACTCTGTGTTATCCGCCTAGATTTATGTATGTATGTGTATTATATTATTATTTTATTATATATGAAGGCATCCGCTGAAAACCAGCGTCGTGGCACCCCGTCACGACATATGCTGTGAGCGGAGACCTATTTGGTACTGTAATTATTAATATAAAAATGTAAATTAAAATTTAAAAAATATTTTCAGTGTACCAAATGAACAATTTTCTTTTCTTTCTTTCTTTCTTATCTTTCTTATATCAAAAGCAGTAATTTTGTAGATCAATCATCGAAAGTCCTTTTTTTTCAAATTTTAAAACAATTTATTTCATAAAGCTAGCATTCTTAGTCTCCGAGATTTATGGCTGAGTGGTTGAGAGATATTAGTTTTAAAATTTTCTATATTTTTACTCTGTAATATGATCAGGGATGTTATGGATATGAAATATCGGATACGGATAGGTTTCGGATATAGGAATGATTATTATACCGGATACGGATGCGGATATGAAATTATTTCGGATCATCCGTCAGTTTCGGATCATTTCGGTTACGGATATGAATTATATTAGGAATTTCAAAAGTAAAATACAAATAGCTAATAAAATGGTTACATAACGTGTGTCAATTAGGCTCCGCTCGTATCTGATATTGGTCTCTTATCCGAAACTTTTATTTCGGATTTACGGTTATGAATATTTTTTTATATATCCGATATAAAAAAATATTCATAACCGTAACCGAATCCAAAATAAAAGTTTCGGATAGTTTCGGTTAGAATCCGATAGTTTCGCTTTCGGTTGCGGAGCTCCGTATCATCCCTGATTATGATACATACCTTGATGCTCTTAGCAATTTTGTCTCTACTATAACTTCTAATCAGGTCCCCAGTATCCGTGTCCCACACCTGCAGGTCATTTGACTGCGTCACACACGCCACCTGCGTCGCGTCCAGCCACGATATCTTTTCAACTGAATTCTCAATATTCAGTGAATATAACAGTGCATCGTCTTCATTTTGTTCCATAATATTGAATACATTTGTGAGACCATCCAGTGATCCTGTCGCCAATATTTCAGTTTTTTCTTTGTGGAATTTGACCTGTAAATTAGTTTTTATTTATATATTTTTTTTAAATAATAATTAGTAAGAAATTTAATTGAGTTTCTTGCCAGTTCTTCTCATTTGAACCTGATACTGAACTGTATGGTAGGGAAAAAAATAATATAAAAAATTTTACATTCATAAGTGGCTATAAATGTCCAGCACGTATAAATGATTTTTGAATTTGATTTAAAATTCAAAGTCTTTATTTATGAAGTACAGGTAACAAAGGTTTAAGTTTAAGAATAGATAGTAAGTTTCACTGTCTGATGTCCTGTCCATTGGTTTATTAACAAATTATTCTACAACTTCAGTGATCACACACCTTAATTTCTGATGGTCGCAAATTCAATTCCTCGCTAGTACAAACACTTGAATTCATGAGTATGATTTTTTGTATTAATCTGAGCTTTTTCTATGTATATTATGTACAAAGAAAATACGGTGTCTATATCAGCTGTTTATGTTTATCAGTGTTTATGGGTACCATAACACAAGCTCTGGTCAGCTTGGAACTAGATTGCGCTGTGTGGCTAACCACCCACACCACACGGTGCAACTGAAATATTAGAGTATTCTAGAGGTATTACTATTATTATTATTTCACTAAATATCATCATCTCAGCCCGGAAGACGTCCACTGCTGAACAAAGGCCACCCCCATGGATCTCCACGACGATCGGTCCTGCGCTGCTCGTATCCAATGCCTTCCAGCGATCTTGACCGGATCGTCGGTCCACCTTGCTGGAGCCCTTACCACTTCTTCACTAAATATACCTGAGATATATCATCTGTGTGGGAGTTCCAGTAACCTCCGAGTGGACTGGTGTTCCTCTGGTCCCAGAATACAAGATAGGCATCGTCCTGCACGACCTGACTGCCGGCACACATCACTCGTCCGTTACAGGACACATCCATACAGTCATATGGCTTTGTGAACTCCTCATCTTCATCTAAAAAATCATTTATTCAAATAAACTTACATTGAAGCACTTTAGAATAGTCATCACATTTTTTTTAATCACACAGATCTCAAATTATATTTTATGTCATCTAAACAAACGTAATTTTTTTTTATCTGTACACCTACTGCTCTTTTTGGATAACTACTTCAATTGAAAAGAACTAGCTAGAAACTTAATTACATACATAATTATATTTTGTATGTGATTATTAACACTTTCCATAAAATATGTTACAAATTCATTAAAAAAAATAACCTTTATACTCCTGTACACAGCTGCCACTAGTCCTCGTGTCCCACATCTTCAGTAGTCCGTCTTGACCTGCTGAATATAATATGTGGTCCTCCTTAGGGCTAAACACCACCTCCGTAAGAGTCTTCTGGTGCCCGCTGAGCCGACAAACCTTCAGTAATGATGTGTTATTCAACTGATACACTTCAATACTATTATCTGATAAACCAACAGCAAATTGTAGAGATCTGAAGTTGAGAATAATATTTTTTTTACTGCACAATATCATCTGCTTCTTCCTTATCCCATTTATTTGTGGTCGTTGTAATATGTTTTTCTCCTCTATTCATCTCTGTTCGCAGTCATCCTGTTATTTACTCCCTTTCTCACCATATCATCTTTCACACAGTCCATCTATCTTTTTTCGGTCTTCCTCTACCTTTATAACCATCCACATTCATATGTAGAGGTCTTTGGAGAAAGTAAGGGAAAGGGCATAATAGATAAGGAGACATGGTGGTGGACTGAAGAAGTGCAAAAGATATTAAAAGAAAAGAAGAATGCTTTCAAAGTTTGGCAAAAGGTAACTATAGAGAATGATCCTCTGAAACAAGAGAAAAAGATAATTTTTTAATGCACAATAAAAGTGAACAAAAGGTGAGCTTAATACGATATGGCTGGGGGAATAGGATTGTTAGTAATGTGGACTGATGATCTCATTGCTAGCAATGTACCATGTTAGGTCGACCTCCACGCGGTCCCCCCTGGAAACCGTCGTGATAAATTCATCGGGAATTTATATTATGTCACAAAGGGGTAACTGACCTGACCTCATGTTCATCTTATCATCCTCCACTGGTGGGGAACCAGTGGAGGATGCCAGCATAAAACATTAACATGCATGCATGCATTTTTTTAATAGATGATATTGGGATGATGCACCCACATCATCCCAATATCATCTATTAAAAAAATGTGATATGGCAAAAATTATTAGAAACTTGTACCTGTGGTGATACAGAAAGCAATATCACAGATTCTATTCATCCATAGGATGCTAGGTAAGGGGTTCTTAAGGGAAAGAAGCAAACTACACCTCTATTCTTACAATTACTAATTTTTTGTCACCAGATTGGACTATTGTATGAAAAAAACATATTGCCAATTAATAATAGAATTCAAAATAAAAAAATAGTATTATTTGTGCCTGCCACTGCAATTTCATTCAGTTACTTAAACATCAAATAAATCAACAATCAAGTTCTTGGGGTTAGATTACTATTGTACTCAGTGTTTAAGATCATTTAGTCACCTAGGGTGGACTGGACTGGCTGGCGTGGACACTCCATTCTTGGTTCCCACATCCAATCAAATCTGCTCATAGTTCTCAGACTGATTGTAGATAGGAAAAAAAAGTATTTATTCGGGCCCGCCACTGCAACTTCATTCAGTTATCATAAAGACTGGAGTTTTAGTTTACTCAGTTTTTAAGATCACTGTTTGGGTTCAGAGGATGAAAAATATACAACAAAATGAGAAATCAATGAAATGCTGTTACTCACACTGACTTTAAAGATACAGATAGATCCTACATGAAGATGTCTGGTTTTCATTTCAGATAATGGTATATAAGTAAATTAATATATTATAATAATTGTACAGACTCCTTACATTCAAGCCGCTGGCTGGTATGACAATTCCTAATTTTTAAATATTTATATTTTTATATGAATATTCGGTTGCTATATTTTTGTTATTATTCCTTCTGTTGTTCGTTGCTTTCTTATATAGTTTTGTTTAGTTTAGTTGGCTGCACCGACCCCAGCGCTCTATACACAGTGCCACACAATAATAATATATGTAATTAAGAGCATTATTTTATCATAATAAAGTACTTACTTGACACCAGATAATTTATTCAGATACGACTTCTTGAGAGATACAGCGGTCTCACACATTAAGCTATATTTTTTATTAAAAATCTGTTCTAAATCCTTCGATTCTACAGTATCCTTGTCAATTTCTTCATTATCTATTATATCAGCCATTGTCATTAATAATTATTAGAATTAATATTATTTATAATAAATATCACAAGTAAAACATAAATCAAGAAGACTGTTCTGCTCTAGAAATAAAATATTTAGCAAATATATCGAGTTTTTAATTTTTAAGAATAATTATAGACGACAAGTGATAAGAAATAAACAACACAAACACGTGTTTAATTGTTTATTCATTGGAATGAGCGAAGATTGACATTTCAATTGACTTAATTATGACATTTATATTCAACTGTCAATTAAATGTACGAAAATATGTCTGTGCAGTTCCCTTTGCCTTATTTATTGAAGGATAAATAGAATAAAAAAAGCGAAGGAAAATTAAAGAATACGAAATTTATTTTCTATTTGGTAAATACCAACGAAACCAACGTGCCAAGCCATTAAAAAGAAAAAACAAACATAAATAGGCATAGCCATGCCTATTTGTTTTTTTTTACAGCCGTATTGGCACAGTACCGTTGTCTATAACCTATGTATTTGGATACTCAAGGCGGGTGATTCCTCCTGGAAACCGTAGTAAACTCGAGAGAACGCATCTTGCAGTAAACAAGTTGCAGTAAGATGGAGGTTTCTACGCATACGACTTTATACAGTCCCTGCACTTCTTTGTTACCTACAATTACTACTTTAATAATATAAAAAGATATCGGTTTGTATATAGTTTATTTATAAATGGTCCGCCTATTAGTGCGTCGATATCGTGCTCCGACGCGCTCGATGTCACCAGCAGCGAGGCGGGTGGCCACCGTGCGCAGCGGCAGCGGGCAGATGCTCCTCAGCTCCGAAGTCTGGTCGGAGAATGCCCAGCGGATGTACCGCTCCATACGGATGTGATCTTAAACAATACGTTATAAAAAGTCTGAATTACGGCATTAAATCTAATTGATTTTATACTAAAACCTAAAACTGATACACAGCCTTCCTGAAACAGTTAATGTAATTCGTTGACAATCGAATGACAAAAAACAAAATGGCGCTAAACCTAGCGCGGGAAAATCAGCGTGCACATTCGTAAGGGATTGTATTTAACTTTTTTTTCGCACATATTTTTCATGTTACGTCTCTTTGATTTTTTTTCATTTTTTTTTCCAAAGTCACGTTTAAAAGATGTAACGAGGTGAAAATGTCTGTTTGCGAAAATGTGGTTTCAAGTAAAAACAGCTGCAGGAATACTTTCATATCTTCAACGGTAGATTACAGCAAATGGACGGATTTTTATCTCAAAAAACAGTCGAAGTTCCAGTACTGAAAGTTTGTTTGATCAGTTGTTTGTAGTATCAGAAACTACTGGTTCGAATTGAAACATTCTTTTTGTGTTGGATAGTCCATTTGTCGAGGAAGGCTCTAAGATATATAATTACGCTACGACCAATAGGAGTTGAGCTGTAATGAAAAGTATTGCAAAAGGTGGAGAAATGAAACGCAAACGGAGTTGCGCGTGTCAGCTAGTCTATACATATAAATAAAATTGCAGTGTCTGTTTGTAATATTGAAATAACCGTATTTACTACATGCATATAAATACGGTACATACACCAAAAAAACATTTTTTACAATTTTTGTCTGTCTGCCTCTCTGTTAGACAGACATTAGTTTCGTCTCTTTCGTCGAAACTTTTTTTGGCAAGTAGCTGATGTAATAAGGAGTAACTTAGGCTAATTTCATTTTTGAAAAATAAAGTAAACTCCACGCGGACGAAGTCGCATGTACAGCTAGTATTCAATAAAGTTTTAAATGTTTTACCAATGGCGGGGTCGATGATAGCAAATGCTCGTTTCACGTTTTCCACTGTGACGATCTTGTTGGCGCCATGTTTCCCGCCCAACTCGTTCACCACCTCGCGTATGTATTTGTCCTGAGGGAGTGCCATCAGATTGAATAGAATAGAACAGAACAGAACAGAATAGAATAGAATATATCTTTATTGCTAACTGTGTGGGTACATTTTTTTGTAGGTGGTATAACAATATATGTAGTTTTTTTTTTGTGGATGATAATGAAATGGTGCTCAGAATATATCTTTATTGCTAACTGTGTGGGTATATTTTTTTGTAGGTGGTATAACAATTTTTTTTTTGTGTATGATAATGAAATGTTGTTCTCCCTGCGCTAACGGTTTACGCTGGCGGATCACCAGTGGAGGATGATAAGATGAATATGAGGTCAGGTCAGTTAGCCCGTCGTGACAAATTCACTAGGAATTTATAACGATGGTTTCCAGGAGGAACCGCGTGGAGGTCGACCTAACATGGTACGTTGCTAGCAATGGGGGTTACTAGTTCCCATTACTAACAATCCCCTTCCCCAATATATATTGTTATACCTTGACGACCTCGGTGCTTTAACGGTCTAGCACACCGCTTTACGTCCGATGGTCGCGGGTTCGATTCCTCGCACGGCACAAACATTGGTATTCATGAGTATGATTGTTTGTATCGGTCTGGGTGTTTTCTATGTATAATATGTATGTATTTACAAAAAAAAATGTGTACTTGTATCAGTTATCTAGTACTCATAACACAAGCTTTAGCTAGCTTAACTTGGGACTACATGGCGCTGTGTGAATTGTCCTGAGATTATTATTATTATTATTATTATATAGTACATGTATCAACAGTTACACCCTATCGGGCATGCAACAATTATATATATAAATATATATAAATTACATTAATTAATTATGTAATGGTATTATTATAAGTATATTGTTAAGAAAGTCTATGAACGATATATTATTACATGTTTTAAAATGATTACGTTATTGTACTAAAATATTCGATTAATTAATATTTACGATTAAGTCCTGTCTGAGACCATAAATGTGTATTAACAATTGAAATAATAAACCCACTGCTAGCAATGTACCGTGTCAGGTTGACCTACACGTGGTTCCTTCTAGAAACTATTGTGGTAAACTCACAATTTATCACGATGACTTCCAGGTGGTAATTGACCGCACCTCATGCTCATCTGATCATCCTCCACTGGTGCCCTGCCAGCGTATACCGTTAGTGCAGGTAGTTGCACCATTCCATTATAAAAAAAAAATATTATAACGAAACCTACCTGTGCCAATTGGCGTTGGCGATATAACTCTCGAGCAAACTCAACTCGATCGAAACCCTCCTCGTTCTGAAATGGCGGTAAATATCTAGAATGTTTTTAAATTTAAAAAAGGGGCTGTTCAAGAATAAGCAGATTTATTTAAATCCCCCTTGTTTAAAACCCCCTCCCCCCATTCGTAAACATTTTAAAAAATCATTTATTCGTGTAAAAAAGTAAATTACGACCGATTCCCCCACCCCCATGTCATCCAACATTATATAATGCCCCAAATCAAATTAAAAAATCATTTATTCATGTTAGACATTATATAATGTCAATTTTTTAAAATTATAATATTTTCCCTACCGTCCAGTTCAGTATACAGATTCAATTGAGAAGAACTGACTAAGAACTCAATTGAATTACTTTTTTTTAAAAGCCAGTTTACTTACAATGTGTATTTATAGTAGAGCAAGAGCCCACGACGTCCAGACATACGTCATATTAGTAAACGTGAAAGTTCTTGTATGTGTGTCCCCAACACAGGTAAGAACGATCCCCAAACATGAAACCTGGATCGTGGCTCCTTTGGCAGGTAATCGGTAACAAAGGTGTAAATAATTTCATATCAAATTCGTGATTTTAAGAAGCTCCATATTTTTATATATTGTTCGTAGTATTATTATAACTTGCGCTGCTTATTGCCAGACATTTAGTGTGGTTCCAACACCCCGCCGGACCCCCATAAACTATACTATTTTATAAATAAACTTACGCCATTTTAATAAAGCTGAACTTTATATATATTATTGAGAGAACTATTAAACTGAGTTTCTTAAATTGCCAGACATTTTTCTTGGTTCTTCATCCTACCAGACTCATTGAAACCGTATATTGGGTAACTACGGTGTATATAATTTCATATCAAGTTCATTAATTTATGAAACTCAATTTTTTCATATATTGCTCGTAACAGTATTATAACAGGCGCTGCTCATTGCCAGACACGATCCAGGTTTCATGTGTGGGGATCGTTCTTACCTGTGTTGGGGACACACATACAAGAACTTTCACGTTTACTAAAATGACGTATGTCTGGCCGTCGTGGGCTCTTGGGCTATATAAGTGTCTATGTCTAACATTAAATGAAAATCCCGTGCATGAACAACTATTGCCATGCACGCTCGTCATTCAAGTAATCGTTTAGTGAGTACAGGCCTTGCTCAGTAAATATGATTTGACAGATGATTTTAATTTATTTAGAGTTAAAAAAATGATACTGTTTTATAACTTAAAATGAACATAAAATAATATCAAATAAAATAAAAATAAAATCAAATAATATGAATTTAACTAGAACATACTATATTTCCGTATTCCGTGACCATTGTTTCAACTTCTACTACTTCTATGAATGTGGATGGTTATAAGGGCAGAGGAAAGCCAAAAAAGAGATGGATGGACTGTGTGAAAGATGATATGGTAAGAAAGGAAGTAAATAACGCGATGACTGCGAACAGGGATGAATGGAAGCGAAAAACATATTACGACGACCACAAATAAATGGGATAAGGAAGAAGCAGATGATGATGTTTCAACTTCTACCTCTCGTGATTTGTCTGCGTTCCCATGGGTATTACCCATTAGAAATGAAATGATTAAAGAATGAGTTGAAAAAAAAACTTGCGTGTTATTCCTTTAAATAAATGTTGTCCAGTTCGGAATTTTGTGTGAATACAAATTGCCAATACTTTGACACATACATTTTAAATTTGGCCTAATTTGAACCGTATTATATGGAAGTTGTTATCACGTACCTCCTGAAACAGCTTGTCCAAGTTGATCTCGTTGCTGGTGATCTTGAGTTTGAGCTGCTTCCTCACCACGTCCATCAGGTTTTTGATGTCCACCTCGCTCTTCAGTGGGAAAGTTACTTTTGCTATTTTCTCAAACTCTTCCAGAGTAATTGTCTTTCAGAAAACAGATAATTTTTGAATTGAATGATGAATATATGGTATACCCACCTGCCCTAATATTACGCTGGTGTCATGGGGAACAACACCAGGGAATTTATCCCCACACGTTGGAACCTAACTGGTCTCGGACAGTGCGGTTTCAGATGAGCTTCCTCCCGCGTACACTTAGATTGTATGAACTTCCTGCCGAGGTTTTCTCACGAGACTACAATATGGGGGTTTTCAATAGGGGTATATTAAGGTTTCTTAAGAGTTGGCAACACGTGACACCCCTGGTGTTTCTTTGAAATAGAAATAATCTTTATTCAAATAAACTCATTACAAGCACTTTTGAATAGTCATATTTTGATTCTACCACTCATTCGGAATGCAGATTCATCACAAGAAGAATGAGCAAGAAACTTGTGTGTTGTTTCGGTAACCATTTACCATCAGATCGGCCGTATGCTTGTTTGCCACCATCATAGTATTAAAAAAAAAACCAAGAAACCAGTGGAGGATGACAAAATGAGCATGCATAATGGCATTCTCTACCAGCCAACCGTCGCGGTAATCAGAGATAATAAGGCGGTGCAATTTAATATTAATTTAAGATAATCTTAAATTTATTACTAGTATTTACATAACCTAATTGTACAACTAAGAACCTAAAATTAAAAAGCTTAAAATAATATAATATGATGACTAAAATATATTATTAAAAGGGGTCCCTTTAGGCAACGTTCCGAAGATACTGGCAGCGTTCCCTCTTTGAATAGCTAAACTAATTCTTTGTCCAAGGTAGCTGTCAGCTCTTCGGTCTTCTGTGATGTCGATTAACCTTTTCGTTATTTCTTTGAAAAGTCTTATAGCGCTAGGACCCCACGGACCAAGGGTCTGAATGGGAATTATTATGAAATGTGTATTGTTACGTCTGTCTATATTAGTTCGAACTTTAGAAATAGCAAAACAAACTAATATATATATCGCGTATACATATACAGTACTAGGAACATGAGGGTCGTAACTGTTCGCCATTCTCGACGGCCTCGGTGATCTAGTGGTTTAACAACCCGCTTGGTCACGCCTTCAATTTCACGTACAGCACCAACTTTTATATTCAACAATATGATTGTTTATCTGGATGTTTTCTATGTATATTATAAAGGTATGTATTTACAAAAAAACTATATCTATCAGTTGCCTAGCCATAACACAAACTCTGCTTAGCTTGGGACTAGATGGTACTGTGATTTGTCTAGAGATATTATTAAATTATCGTAATTTCCATCACATCAGATCTTTTAAATCGGAGAACGGATTACGAAGCTAAGCTTAGTGACAAATAGATGGCACAGGTATGTCATCAGTGACTTTAAAACTACGAAAAGGATTATGAAGCGGTTTTTTTTAATAGATAGAGTGATTCAAGAGGAAGGTTTATATGTATAATACATGTACACCCGTGCGAAGCCGGGGTGTGAACTCAAAGGTGACTGACATAGTGATCTATCAACGCACAGCCCAAAAAACTGGACGGATCGGGCTGAAATTTGGCATGCAGGAAATTTGGCATAAATGTTATGACGTTGGCATCCGCTACGAAAGGATTTCCCAAGGGGATAAAACAGGAGATGAAAGTTTGTATGAAACTTTGTCAATTTTAAACCGATCGGGCTGAGACTTTGCATGCATAAAGCTACTATGACGTAGGCATCCCCTAAGAAAGGATTTTTATAAATTCCACCTCTAAGGGGATAAATTAACGCGAGCGAAGCCGCGGGCAAAAGCTAGTATAAAATAAAGTGTTTAAGGTACCTACTTACCTCTCCATCCTTGCTGTGTTTATACAGCAACTCCTTGAGACTCTGCCACTGCGCTCGATGTCCCCAGTAGATGCGCTCACTGAGGTGACCGTGCAGTACGCCCCAGAACAACTTCACCTGCGGCTCATCTAACATTTGTTCAGCGCCTGCGCACAAATTGTACGCCCATTCTGCACGAACGGATGGTTGTTGATACCTATAGAAATAGAAAGAATCTTCATTCAAAAAAACTCAACACAAGCACTTTTGAATAGTCAATTTTTTTAATGTACCACTCATTCGGAAAGCATATTCATCATAAGAAGAATGAGCAAGAAACTTACGTGTTGCTCTTTTGAATAGATTTTTTTTATATATATAACTGGCTACTCGGCCCGGCTTCGCACGGGTGTGTATCATTACATAGTATAAAACAAAGTCGCGGTCACTGTCTGTCCGTCCCTATGTATGCTTAAATCTTTAAAACTACGTAACGGATTTTGAAGCGGTTTTTTTTAATAGATAGAGTGATTCAAGAGAAAGGTTTATGTATATAAATTATACATGTACACCCGTGGGAAGCCGGGTCGGATAGCCAGTTATATATATAAATAAAATATCTTCATACCTACTATTATAAAGTACCTAAAAACCTACATATAGATAAAGTGACTCAACATGAAGGCATGTTGAGTCACTTTATCTATAAAAAAAAAACCGCTTTAAAATCCGTTGCGTAGTTTTAAAGATTTATGCATACATAGGGACAGACAGCGAGAGCGACTTTGTTTTATACTATGTAGTGGATGATGATGATGATGATGATAGTGATAGTATGTAATATTATGTTATCTGTGGTGATAGTGACACAGAAGTTTAATTAATTTATAGCCATGATACCAGCCTGTCCTCGAAATAATTGGTGACGTAATCCTGCATGGACATGTCCTGGCCGTGCTCCAGCTTCCCCAGCCAGATGTCGTTGATGATGACGCTCACTTCCCGCCGAGACAAGCGCAGGTTCCTCACTTTACCTTCGTGCCGCAAGTACGGGGGGATCACCGGGTCTGTACCCTGAATGTGATAACTTACAGTGATGCTTTATACATTAGTTTTTATTACGGCCCCGGTGGTCTAGCAGTTTAGCATGTTGCCTTAATACCAATGGTCGCGGGTTCGATTCCTCGCACGGTAAAAACATTTGTACTCGTGATTATGATTGGTTGTATCGGTCTGTGTGTTTTCTATGTACATTTAAAATAAAAAATGTATCTATATTTTATATAAGTTGCCTATATAGTACTCATAACGCTGTTTTGCTTAGATTGGGACTACAGGGGATGTGTGAATTGTCCCGGGTTATTATTATTATAAACTAGTTGCAACCGCGACTTCGTCCGCGTGGAATTTAACATTATTTTTCTAAAATAAAAGTAGCCTAAATTACTCCTTATTACATTAGCTACCTGTTAATAAAAGTCCCGTCAAAATCGGTCCAGATATTTCAGAGATTAGCCGGAACAAACAGACAGATAGAAAGACAGACAAAATTTTTTAAAACAATGTTAATTTAGTGTATGTACCGTCTGTACATTCATATGCATGTAGTAAAAAACGGTTATTTCAATATTACACACAACAACACACTCCAAGTTTATTTATATGTATAGATGTCTAGATAGAAAAAAAATCAGTGTTGAGTAACATAATCGATAGTAAATCAAAACAGAATATAATAGAAATATTAATCGACTCGATACTAAATGGTACCAGGCTAGGTGATCGTCGTAATTCAATCGTCTATGAATGTGACCAACCTAAAAGAACGCAATACGTTCTTGGAAGTTGGCCACACTGAGTGACATCCTACCCTGGACACCCAAGGTAAATGAAGACGATAAACTTACAAATCCATCGAAGTGCTCCAACTGCTCACTCTCCGCTGCCGGTCCAAGTTCTTTCAACAGGACTCTCAGCATATCCCTTGAAGACAATCCACTGGCCAACTGCCACCATCTATAGAACAAAAGAAGAATTGCAGTCAGGGGAGGATCTACCTAAGGGCTTTTTGTGCTGCAGCCCAGGCCTACAAAGAACCCCCCAAGAAGAGTCCCCACTGAAACGATATTTAGAATATATAAAAATATCTAGAATGTTAAAAAACCTATCATAAGGTTGGCAACCCTGAGATCAATCAACCCATACAAGTGCGCGTCTATAGAAAGCAACGGGGAATTTCTGGTCGCTTGTTTTTGGTCGGTGTATTTTTTTAGTTGAGTAATATAATTAGGTAGGCCCTTAAGTAGATTAAGCCCAGGGCCCCACAAATATACAATCTGCCCCTGATTGCAGTAGCTTATGCTATTGGTCACTACAATCTCCCTAATTTGAATTTAAAAACGAATATATATTTTTATAAATATGTACAAACTCGTTTGAAAAGAATACGAGCTGAGTGTCTTGTCAGTTCTTCTTATCTCGAAATCATTCAGAACTGACGGTAGATTTGACATATCATTAGAGTCCGTAATAGACCTACATTAGAGTTGCCAACCGTCCTGTTTTCCCAGGACACGTCCTAGTTTTTGAAGTGTTCTAGGAAGTCCTGAATAGTTACTTTTCAGCGTCCTGGCAAGTTTTTAAAATATACGTGCCTCTTAATTACTGATTTTCAACAGTATAATTTTATCAAATAATTTTTATTAAAAACCTGTTGACATTAATTACTTGAATTTTGACGACCTCGGTGGTATAGCTGTCTAGCACACCGCTTTACGTCCGATGGTCGCGGGTTCTTTTCCTCGCACGGCTCAAACATTTGTATTCATGAGTATGATGATTGTTTGTATCGGTCTGGGTGTTTTCTATGTATAATATGTATGTATTTACGAAAAAAAAATCTATGTATTTGTATCAGTTATCTAGTACCCATAACACATGTTTCAGCTAACTTAACTTGGGTCTAGATGGCGCTGTGTGAATTGTCTTAAGATTATTATTATTTTATTATAATGTATTCTGTTTTAAACTGGATGGTCCTGAATTTTTGAATTTTCTATTCTGGTTTTTTAAATTTGGGCTTGGGAATTCTAATGTACATGAATAATGATACTTCGATTTGAATTGTATACCTATCTCTGCCTCCGCCGATGAAATCTGCACACAGTTCCCACTGAGGACGTGGTGTGCCGGCGCGCTCCAGTTCTCTACAACGTTCTCTGGTCTCAATAAGCTCCTCTTCTATACCTTTCTTTAGAGCTAAAAGCATAAAGACAAAGCATTGTTGGATAAAGACTGTTTTTTTATACCACTATGGTGGCAAACAGGCATACGGCCCATCTGATGGTAAATGGTTACCGTAGTCTATGGACGCCTGAAACACCAGGTGTGTCACGTGCGCGTTGCCGACCCATAAGAAACCTTAATACAGTAGACCCCCGGTAGTCCGACAATCATTTTGCAGGGCAGTGTCGGACTATCGAATTTGTCGAATTATAGAGTACTGCCTAAGACCCCTTATAGTCCGAATTTTTTTACAAAAGAGTACCTTGTAATCCGACAAATTATAGATCCAATGATGATTCTTTATATTATATACATTTACAGTGGACCCCCGGTTATCCGACAAACGTTTTGCAGGGCAGTGTCGGACCATCGTATTTGTCGGATTATAGAGTGCTGCTTAAGGGTCCTCTGCTTATAGTCTGGAATTTTTTACAAAAGAGTATCTTGTAATCCGACAAATTACAGATCCAGTGATAAGTTCTATGTTATATATGTATGTATGTATATGCACTCTGAAGTATATTGTCAAAGTAATATTCAATAACAAATGATAGACAATGTCGGATTACAAGGGGGGCCGGATTAGACAGGGGCCGGATTACCGCGGGTCCACTGTATACCCTTCTTGAAGAACCCCATGCTGTAGTCTCGTGAGAAAACCTCGGCAGGAAGTTCATTCCACAACCTAAGTGTACGCGGGAGGAAGCTCCTCTGAAACCGCACTGTTCGAGACCACTTAGGTTCCAGCGTGTGGGAATGAATTCCCTGTCGATGGCGAGCGGTGCGATGGTAAAAGGTGGCCGTAAGCATTATGTTGAACAATTCATCAGATGTGTATGTATGTATTATATATTAAACGATAGCCGCGGTGTTACATCCTATGGTCAGGGATTCAATTCCTCGCACGGTGCAAACATTTGTATTCATAAGTATAATTGCTTGGGTAAAAGTATATGCAGAAAACCAATATGTAATGTTTTCTGCATGTACTAAAAAATGTATTAAAATATTTCTACCCGTTGTATGCTGTAAGTTATGTGTACTAAACAAATTGTGGCTATCACACAAGCTCTGATCAGTTGGGGCTAGTGGCACTATGTTTATTGTTCTAGAGTGCCCATGAAGAAGGGGCTTGGAGAGGCAAAATTCTAGAAGTCTTTTACTTACTGAGTACCCGCTTATGCGTATCTTGAAGGGATTGCAATTCCACGCTCAGAGCGTCTACCTGTTTAGTGGAGTCGTAGTGTTTAGCAGTTAATATATCGTACTCTCTTCTGGGCACAGTGTCTGCATACTCTTCCGTCCTCTTCTTTAAATCTATTTGCGTTGTTGACAATTGTTCTCTAAAAATATTTCGATGCTTTTTAAATTTGGTTGGAATTGACAAAATGAAATACTTTTTCTCTTGCTCTAACCTTAAAAGGCCGGCATCTTAACCGCAATTCCCCTTGCGACGCGAGTGCTTATGAACGGCGACAGCCCCGGAGGGGGAGGGAGGGCAACTGGGGACCCGTGCCCCGGCGGCAAGTTCTGGGGCGACGAATTCGAACTTGGCAAGAAAATAGAACTCATCATTAACGAGTCTCCGACAACTTGAGCACTGAGACGTCAACTAAATTGTTTGTGTTCAATGTATTTGAAAATGCCACAACAATTAACAACAATTATTAATTGTATGTTAATATGTATATTCTAAAAATGTTGGCCGGAAACGGGGAATTTTAGAGGGGCGCCATTTATTAATTTTTCCCCTGCCTCGAAAAAAACGAAGATCCGGGGCTGGGTGGCGGCCATAACCATTCAAATTAAAATATCATTTATTCATGTAGGACATATTAGCCGCTTATAATTTTTTTTACATTATAATTTTATTTTTTCACTACCGTCCGTAGTTCAGTACATAGATTCCATTAAGAACTGCCAAGAAACTCAATTGAATATTTTATGTTATTTTTTAAAAACCAGTTTATTTCCAATGTATATTTATTTAGGTGTCTATGTCTAACATTAAATGAAAATCCCGTGCATGAACGACTATTGCCATGCACGCTCGTCATTAAAATAATCGTTTAGTGAGTAATAGGTTTTGCTCAGTAAATATGATCTAACAGATGCTAAATCATATTTACATTAAGTAATGCTCACTAGAATGTCCAAACTTGTGGCGGCGTGGTGGGCCGGCTCATTGGGCTCCCTAAAATATGGTCGAGCGCAGTGATGGCTGGCTCATCCGTCATACTCGTGAACGGGTGCTGCTTGTAGGGAGTGGTCTGCTCTAATCACTATGACTGATTTCCTCTTATTAATTGTTTAACCAGTTGGTTATATATACAATATTTTTTCTATTTGAGTATTTAATTGAATTAGTGCTAATTGGTGATCTGTATTCACACACTTAAAATTAAAAATGTAAAGTAATAATAAAATTATTTAAAAGAGCAACACGCAAGTTTCTTGCTCGTGCTTCTTCTGATGAGACAGCTTTCCGAATAAGCGGTAGATTAAAAAAAATGTAATTAACTATTCAAAAGTGCTTCAATGTAAGTTTATTTGAATAAATGATTTTCTATTCTAAAAATTTGTAACTGCTGTACCTGCAACGATCTAGAGCAATTCTCAGTACCACTGGGTCGCCATACGCATCATCCACAGGGTACGAACTTCCATCCAATTCCTTCAGCTTCATCTGTAGCCCCAGGTTCTCGAAATACAGCGTGTATCGTGCATCTCTCTCGCGCATTAACGTGAGATACTCTGAGAATTTGTCGTCTTTCAACTAACCGTTGTACAAAGACGACAAGAAAATTAATTTAAGAGTAATAACATGAAACAACGTGCTGTCACAGGCGAAAGAGTGATCATCAAAATAGTATAATGCAAACGCCCACGATTGCGCGCACTGTCTTTCCCGCGCTGAGTCACGCGGGAAAGAACAAGGTTTTTTCCGACTACTCTAAAGCACTTGGCCACAGCTTCACCGGACGATAGGGGGCGAGTGCAGATGGCACTCCAAACCCGCGGAATGACTTATGGATCGGCTGAAGGCCTGACGGATACGACTTTACACACAGACAGACAGACAGTACACAGTGACGCGGTGGCGATGCTCCGCAGTGGTGGATAGGAAATGCATTTTTTACTTTATTATTATTATTGGTTTTTTTATTATTTTTTTTTTTTTCTTTGTATATAATGATTTCATCTCTAATTTAATGAATTGTTTTTATTTACGTTTATCTTATATAATAATTTATATGCAGCTGTCGGCATCGTTTTTATTGTGTTGAGATGTGTGATGTAATAAATGTAATAAATGTAAATATATAAATAAACTTTAGTCTGAGGGACCGCTAGGGGTTCGAACCGTCATACTCAGGCCGTCGTAATTTCGATCCCCGTTTGAATTGGACGGGGGATCGATCGGAGGGGGAAAGAACAAGTGTAAAGGTAACTATTGTAATAGATATAAATCAATACGGAGTTAGTAACTCGAGTTGACACATCTCTAGTATGCGTACGCGATCCCCCGTCCAAATTCGAACCCCTAGCGGTCCCTCAGACTAAAGTCGTATCCGTCAGGCCTTCAGCCGCTCCATAAGTCATTCCGCGGGTTTGGAGTGCCATCTGCACTCGCCCCCTATCGTCCGGTGAAGCTGTGGGCAAGTGCTTTAGTGTAGTCGGAAAAAAAACTTAAAAAAAACTTGTGCGTATAGTTGTTGAGTAACCCATAACACCAACACTAACAAAACCATAAACAAAAATACAATACTTACGAACATCCACAAACAAGAAGCTTGTAATTACGAAGAATTAATGAATACAAAAATAATCATATTTAAGACAAATTCAAAATTCACAGTTCGCTATCTAGTCCTAAAATAAGTAGAACTTAATAATATGCCTACTTTTTAATTGTACCTATTGTTATCAAATTTAAATTAGAATATAGAACTACAAATAGCAATGTAATATTACTGGAGGGATAACGAGTCCAGCCATTATAGAGCCAGCCAGATAATGGGTCTAGCCATTTCATAGATTAGCCGGAACAAACAAACAGACAGACAAAAATTGTAAAAAATGTTATTTTGGTGGATGTACCGTATTTTTATTTATCTGCAATTGGTAAAAAACGGTTATTTCAATATTATTATATTACAAACAGACACTCCAATTTTATTTATATGTATAGATGAAGTCACGTAAATCAGCTAGTAGTTTATGTTTAACAGTTGTTTAGATCCAAATATCTAATAGAATTAGTTTCAAGGGCATATTAACAAAACACCATTAGGCGCGGCATACAATTGGCAAAACAAATAAAACAACGTCTGTACAGCACAATAATATAATTATATCCTGATAACAGTGAAGCTCAAGATAAAGTCAATAAACATATAAATATATGTCACTATTTGTCTGTCTACCCAGTTAGCAAAAATACTGCTATATTTTTTTTTTAATTCTGCCAATTGGTATCAGATACAGGCTCAGAGCAATAGCTGTACATTTATTAGATTGTAGATACTATATTACATAATTTGTATAATTTATCTATGGCATATACATTTTAATTTCATGCAGCACAGCTGTGTAATAACTTATCTTAACAAAGCCTCATGGTTCTTTTAATAAGAATAAGTGTATTTAATTTACTCTCATATAATATACAGATTATATATTATTATTGTAAGCTATGTACACAGAATTTTTAGATATCTGTGGTTCAAATTTATAGGAATATAATTTATTTATTTATTTATATTGTGTAATTTACATATATTTACAATTTTGTATTAACAGATTGCTATGAACATTGTTATGCATACATATATATATATTAATATAATTATTTCCACTCTCTCTTGGTGTTGCAACTGTGTTGATTGAGATCACTTTCTGAGACTTTTCAACCAGTCTTCACAACAATGGCTCCAATTATAATTATTATTATAGTTTTATAGTGCAATAAAGATTATATAAATAATAACAATACACACCTTGCCCATATCTTTCTTTACTTTTGATAATTCAAATGTCAATTTTAAATTTCTCTCTCTAAGGTCCTCATTCTGTTGCAACAAACTTTTTATTTTGTCGTCTCTCTGCTTTTTTCTAGCTGACAATCCAAATACTTTCTGAAATTCATAAACAAGCAGTCTTATCCTCTATGGTTAAAGCTTAATAATTTTTGCACCATTCAAACTTTAAGTAAATGTTTAAGAGTTCTGGTAAATAACAATAACTGAGAGCACCATCTAATTCTAGGAAGAGTTCAGGACATGTCATTCTAGAATATTCTATAACAATATAACAATGATAAAATTTTGAGAATTCCACTTTTAATTGAGTATATGTCTGGCATATTAATGAAATATCATATATAAATTCTATGACATTAATGTAACAAAATCAATGTTGACAAAGCCAAAGAAAAGTTAGATAGTAATTATTTGTGTATGGCTCACAACTTTCAAAATAACAATTAAAACTTAATATAATTATAATAAACTTCCAATTAGCTGGTTAATAAACAATTACAATAACATGACTAAAACCATATTACTTTGTCAAGTTCCTAAATGGGACCTGACTTTGATTGTGCCTCATCAAACTTCTTACGGTCGCACCAGCTCGTAGCCTGTGTGCGGATGCAAGAGATATCAGCTCCGTATGTTCTGCAACAGCCTCCTACATATTTAACACCTAAATCTAACCACTCGTGGACAAAACTATCCAGTGCTACACATTTATCTCTGTCTATCCACCCCAATTGGGGGTTATACTTCTCCCCTGAGTTGGGGTATGTTATGAGGGGTATTGGGGCATGTTTCCTATCATCATTGAAGCCTTTAAATAGCCCGGCGACAATTAACGGAGAGCAACAGTTAACGCCGATGGCTACTAAACGGTTAGGACTTGCGTCCCAGCATTTTTTTGCCACCTCTTGGAAGTTCTCGCCATGAGCTAGTGTTTTGTCATCTCTACAGCTAAACGAGAGCCATGCTTTGACTAGAGGGTAGTCGTTTAACATGTCAACGAGCATCTCTGCTTCTTTCTGACAGGGTATGGTTTCAAAAGCGAGCAAATCAACACCAGCTTCAATTAAAGCCTCAATTCGAGGTGTATGCCATTCCCTCAGTGTTTCTGTTGGCGTTTTATCTGCGTAGCTACCGTCGTACTCAGATCCGTCGTGTAGGTGAGCTCCGTATGGACCTACCGACCCTGCGATTAGAGGGCGTTGTATAACGCTGTCTTGGCATTCTTCCATATATGTATCACAGGCACGTTGCGCTAGTTTTACAGCTCGTTGTATAAGCGAAAAGCCTTCCTCGGGAGTGACACCGAGGTACTTGACGAAGCCGCCGACGGATGCCTGGTAAGTATTGGTCATGATGATGTCGGCACCGGCGCGCAGGAAATCCAAATGAGTGTTGACCACTTCCTCCGGATGTGTTTCCAAGAAGCGGGCACTCCACAGCGGGTCGCCGTCGGCGGTGGTGCCCACGTGGCAGGACAGTTGAGAGGAGAAACCACCGTCGAGAACTAGCACCGAATGATTAGCATCCGTAAGAGAAGACGGCGACGCTGCCATTTGCTCAATTTATTAATACCTCTTGTTAGTAATTTGTTACAGAATTTCACTACCACACATCCATATAGGCAAGTGAGTATTAAATAAAATTAATATTACAATAACATTAAAAATAATCAACAAGTTTAAAAAACAAAAAGTAAAAATCAAGAGTGGACAGTCACTCCCGCTGAAGTCTTGTTATTGTTTGTTAAGGCAAGTCTAAATGTCAATGTCAGTGTCACTGTATGTCATCGTACTATAATTGTCAATTGTCAAATCCAGCTGTGTCACAAAAATATTATGAAAGTAATAAAGCCTAGTATTCACTATCAATTATAACCAACTACAATATATCTCCGAAAAAAAAAATCAGTATGGATCCCGAATGAGTAGAGTAATAAGGCAATTCATAAATATGAACTGGGAAGGAATGGAAACGAATTAAATATATTATTAGAATGTTTTAATTCACAGCCAAATCTAATTGTACATACTTACGTCTTGTGTAATAAATTGTGAAATCCGCTCATCTCTTATATCAATAGCGTGGTCATAAGCTTGCTTAATTTCACTCAATATTGAGGAATATGTCGCTGTGTTTTCAATCAATGCTTTTAAAGACTCTCGGTATATCTGTAAAACAGGTATAGAAATTATAAAAAGCCCCTATATTACCACACATATTATAAAATTTTACTTAATTAAGTAGAAATAATAATGTCTAGCTAATAGTATTATATTAATGTGAAATTAAGTAATTTAAAAAAACTTTGATATGTGAATTGTTGTAATAGAGAATACACGACCGCATTTGTACTGAGCGAACTACTGAATAATAAACTTATGACTGTATTATCCCTGAGTAAACAATGACTAAAATGTTAATATCATTATTATATCTTACCTCTAATATTTCATCATAATACAGCTGTTGTGTTTCTAAGACCTCACTTGAAGTTTTCTTCACTTGTTCAACTTTTTTCCTAACTGTCATCATTAGGTCTTTTAAAAACTTGGGGTAGTTATTTTGGGTCATGATAATAATGGGTGAATTTGAGATTGATTTGTTGCCTAATTCGTATATTCTTTCCACTAAGTAGATTCTAAGAATATATTCTGCTAAAATCGTTATCTTTGAAGTGGTTAGCATTAGTTTCTGTGGTGATTATCTTTTCAGGGTAGGTATGGAAGTCCGAAAAAAAATGCATAGATATATTGTGATTTCTATTACTTATGTCTTAATTAAATGACTTTTACAGAAATAATATGTTCTATATAATTCTAATCATTAATTTTGTTGTTTCTGAATATTTTGCAATAAGAAGTTAAATAAAAAAAATATATTGTTACGTTTTCTGTATGTCTATGATTCTACGATTTTCTAGTCTGTGATTCCTTGAATTTCAAGTGCTGCCACCTATGTGTAAATATAGTAACTAGTGGATGTGACGTCACTGACATGAAATACAGAAATTAGAAATGGCTGCGATAGGTAGTGGACGGGGGACGATGGATTCCCAAAATCAAGTGCAAAGTGATACTGTAGATCGTTTAAAATTACTTTATCCTAATGTAAATGAAGATGAAACTCCATTGCCGAGATCATGGAGTACTAAGGACAAGTTTAGTTACATCGGTTTATCGCAAAATAATCTTCGAGTCCACTATAAAGGTAAGAACCATCAAGGTTTGTTTTTACGTTAATATTTTGCGAAACTATATGTTATATAAATGGACTCGATTTTTAAGGGTATGTCAATAGTTCCGTGGTTTACGTAATACGGGAATTGTCTGACGTGTCATAAACATTTCGTAGTATGGTGCTATTTGCTGGCATAGTCAAACAAAGAAATCAGCTGATCGTATATTTTGTAACAACAAGAAAAAATAAATGATTGCTAATTATATCGTTCTAAAAACGTAATTTGAGTATATAACGTGACGAATGTCGTTAAATTTTATAGTAAACAAGGTCTCTTCTCCTATAAAATGGCAGACTAAAAGAGTGAATAAAGTACGTAATTAATTATGAGTAGTCTTATCTTTCGCTGTTAATTGATCTGCACGTAATATTTAAGTTATAATCATAGAGTTAGTACTAAAATTAACAATAATACTAAATGCCTTCTATAAATATTATAACTTTTTGTTTATGTTATAACAGTTGTATTCCCACGGCTTTGTCTGCGTGAATTCGTTTTATAACAATCATATTTGTTAATACAGTATATGGTCTATACGTGTACCAAATTGCATTATAATCTGCCCTCTCACTTACGAGTGATTGAGTCCGAAAATGGTAAACATTTTAATATTTGATATTAAGATTAAAAAGTAGGTACATTTTAAAAATAATTTGGATCGATCTTTATGTTTACCTATATATGAAGTTATTTGTGTTTTGTCTCATTCCTTCAAATTAGGAAAATAGCTAGAGTGAAAGGAACAGCAGAGTTAATACCAAATTATTACACACTAGTCATATTATGTGACATTGCTTGTTTGGAATACAGCCCATGTTATTCACAAATAATGTCACTATTATATACTCACTAAAACGCGTATTGAGACACAAATCTGTATAATTATCTAACCAATTTAGTACATAACAGCAGGTTTTATAGCTGTAAAAAATTAAAAATCAGCCTAGGATTTTATGAGCATATCTATGATAAATGAGCATACACAAATAAGATGTTTTATTTCACCACTTTAGCACATTATAGTAGCGTTTTATAGCTGTAAAAAATTAAAAATCAGCCTAGGATTTTATGAGCATATCTATGATAAATGAGCATACACAAATAAGATGTTTTATTTCACCACTTTAGTACATCATAGCAGCTTTTATAGCTGTAAAAAATTAAAAATCAGCCTAGGATTTTATGAGCATATCTATGATAAATAAGTGTACACAATTGAGATGTTCTATCTATACAATATTGTAATAGATTTGAAGTATTTTTTTAAATATGAAAACATACTGCCAAGACTTTTATCTCAGATGGGGTTGTTCAACACAACATCAATGGGGGGAAATGGGATTGTTAGTAATGTGGACTGATGATCTTATTGCAAGCAATGTACCATATCAGGTCGACCTCCATGCGGTTCCTCCTGGAAACCATTGTGATAAATTCCTGATGAATTTATCACGATGGGCTAACTGACCTGACCTTATGCTCATCTTGTAATCCTCCACTGCTGGTCCGCCAGCGTAAACCATTAGCGCAGGCAGGTGCACCATTCCATTGTCATCCATAAAAAAGGAAAAACACCACATTAATAGATAGCAATGCCTCTGCATTGCGGTGGATGGAATTTCACTTTATTTACTGGGTATAAATGATGGCTATGGTAGGGGCAAGACTTTCACATCCTTTCAATATATACTTTTAGGTTTATATAAGGAAATCCTTCATGGGAGACTCATATTAAGAATCTGTTAATTTTCTTTTTTCTCTATATTTACAAGGTAATGTGGTACCTGTAAAAATATGTTCATTTTTTTTTAAATTTTGTAATTTATACATCTATGAATATAAATAAAATTGGAGTGTGTTTGTAATATTGAAATAACCGTTTTTTACTACATGCATATGAATATAAATACCGTACATACACCAAAATATAATTTTTTACAATTTTTGAAAATCGCCTAATCTCTGAAATGGCTGGACCGATTTTGACGGGACTTTTTGGCAGGTAGCTGATGTGACAAGGAGTATCTTACGCTACTTTTGTTTTAGAAAAATAAAGTTAAATTCCAGGCGGACGTAGTCGCGGAAACAGCTAGTTATAAGATATATTAACATCAGTGGTCCCCGAAATATCTTGAATGCTGTTATCAGTATTTATAGTAACTTTGGTTTGTAAGTGATATCTTGTCACAGACATATCAGGTCAGGTCAGGTGTAACATGTATACTTGAATAGTGTTGTTTAGAATTTTACTAACTGTCTCATGTTTCTGTATCACAGTTAGTTGACATTTATCATTATATTTCGGCCAATTTACATAATATATTATTAAATTATAGCCTATATGTTATTCTGATATATAAGCTTGCTTACTGTAAAGTTTCATCAAAATCCGTTCAGTATTTGCGTGAAAGATTACCTCCATCCATATTCACAAACTTTCGTGTTTAGTAAGATATTATATTATATTAGTAAGATAATTCTCCATGTATTGGTATGTTGGATGGCTCCTTGGAATATCAATGAATAATGTTATCAGATTCATTGTTATATCTTATAAAATGTACACAATAATAAGTCACTCCAGTCTCTACAATACAGGCCTGCGAGCCTAGTGTAGAACTACAGTAAATTAAAATGTAAATGTGTATCAAGAATAAATATTATTATTATTTCTTTATATATATATTATATATCTCCCTTTGATGGGGTAATAGACTGATCATTATGGGTAAAATATAAATAGAAATAATCTTTATTCAAATAAACTCATTACAAGCACTTTTGAATAGTCATATTTTGATTCTACCACTTCGGAAATGCCGATTCATCACAAGAAGAATGAGCAAGAAACTTGTGTGTTGCTCTTTTTAATAGATGTGTTAAAAATCACCAAACAATGATTATTATTTTTATAGACTAACATACATGAGAAATAATAATAAACTGTAAATTCAAATTGTCTCATTAAATTAATAAGGTAGTAACAATGTAACTGAATTACATTTGAGTTCTTGCATATTTATTGCATTGTCCCGTTTGGTCCTCCACAAGTCCTGTAGGAAGATCGATGCATAGTAAAAATATTCAGTATGTACTAAAGATTGTATACAATAAATATTTATGGTCCAGTTTGCTTAAAACTTCGAATCACTAGCTTTTCAAGGAAAGGATGACTAAAAAGGAAATATACAGCTGTAACAGCGCTACATGAGCTATCTATACATACATATAAATAAAATTGGAGTGTCTGTTTGTAATATTGAAATAACCGTTTTTTACTACATGCATATGAATATAAATACGGTACATACACCAAAATATTTTTTTTTTACAATTTTTGTCTGTCTGTCTGTTTGTTACGGCGATTCAAAAATGACGATTTTTGAAACTATAACGAGGAATCTTTACCGAGGAGAACCCTTCATCTCCCCTTTCAACCCCTTACACCCTTTATTCGCATTAAAAAGTAGCCTATGTCCTTTCTCAGGGTCTAAACTATCTGTGTACCAAATTTCATTTAAATCGGTTCAGTAGTTTAGGCGTCAAAGCGAGACAGACAGACAGACAGAGTTACTTTCGCATTTATAATATTAGTAAAAAAAAAAGGTCATTGTCGTATATGCACTATAAGTGTTATCAACCCCACAGGACCCCTAGTCTAGACCTATGACAGACAAAGGTACCGTCAGCAGCCGGGTATCGACCCGGGCAGACGGTTGTTGACCGGGTGCATGGTCTGCACTCCTAATTCCACGTCTAGACTTAACCAGGGGTGACTGACTATTATGACCTTTGTTATTCATTCCCGTTTGGATAGCGAAACCAAGGTGAATATATTATAGATGTGATATAAGTAATTCAATTGGGTTTCTTGCCAGTTCTTCTCTATTGGATTATTTAAAAGAGCAACACACAAGTTTCTTGCTCGTTCTTCTTGTGATGAGACAGCTTTCCGAATAAGCGGTAGATTAAAAAAAATGTTACGACTATTCAAAAGTTCTTAAATTAAGTTTATTTCTATAAAGGATTTCCTATTCTATTGGATCTATATACTGAACTGGGTGGTAGGGAAAAAAATATATTATAAAAAATTTGACGTTCATAAGCGGCTAAAATGTCCTATATAAATAAATGATTTTTGAATTTGAATTTGATGGTAAATTGTGGGGTTTGCGGGAGTTAACTGACTGAATTTATTTATTTATTTAATTCGGTTTACGTCCATATTGTGTTAGTAAACTTAAACTTAAAGTAACTTATAAGTTGTTTGCTAAATACAATATAACGTATATACATATAGTAAACAACTTAAAGTTACTAATAATATATATTAGTAACTTTATATTATACAGATATATACACTTAATTCATATTTGACGACCTCGGTGGTCTAGCGGTCTAGCACAGCTCTTTACGTCCGATGGTCGCGGGTTCGATTCCTCGCACGGCACAAACATTTGTATTCATGAGTATGATTATTTGTGTCGGTCTGGGTGTTTTCTATATATATTATTTATGTATTTACAAAAAAAAATATCTGTGTATTTGTATCAGTTATCTAGTACCCATAACACAAGATTTAGCTAGCTTAACTTGGGTTTAGATGGCGCTGTGTGAATTGTCCTGAGATTATTATATTATTATATATCTGTGTCCACGTCTAGTGCTTCTAGCACTGGGTCCACAATGCAACGATATCCAGTGCCTCTGGAGCGGAGAATCAGATATATTTGCTACAATTGTTAGGATGCTGTTTGCGCTCCCCCGAATTCTAGACATCAGTGATGCAGTTCTTCTGCGCATTATGGCTGGAAACCCTTCTACCCGTACCCGCGCTGCTGCAAACATCTCTCATGCGCTACAGAACCGAGAGAGCCTCAACAACATCCTAAAACTTATTATATTGTATACCAGCTGTTCCGGCTACTTCGTCTGCGTGGAATTTAACTTTATTTTTCTAAAATAAAAT